ATCAACTGTTCTTGTCTTTCTTTTGACTATAATAAAGAACAATGTTGAAATTAAAAATAATAGTATTCTTAACAATATTACGTATTTCCTTACTCTGGATTTGTTGAATTTGTAGATAATATTGTTTTATTTCAGCCGGCCCATTATATTCTGTTCAACAGAATTCTCTTCGAGGGATATAATGTGAAACAATCGGCTTAAAAATCCCAAATCCTCTACAACATTGATGAAATCTCGTTTCTTTCGTATTATATACCTATCTATGCAAACAAGTATTTTGCAAATGTTGTGAAAATAATTTAATGTAATATAGGTAACTATAACGATGTGGGTACCTATGTAAATAAATAAATAGTTAATATGATCGGAAGTTAGCAACTGTAAGAAAATTTTGATACCTACCAACTTCTTATCATGTCCTTTTCCCATTCATTTGGGATCGTCATCTCGTTATTTACTCTCTTATCGTTCTTTTACATAGCCCATCCATATCTTTTTCAGACTATTTTGTAAATACATATATAATATACACAGAATTTACTCAGATCGATACAAACATCATACACATGAATACAAATATTTGCACTGTGCGAGGAATCGAACCCGCGACCATCAGAAGTAAAGCAGTGTCCTAAACCGCTAGACCACAGTGACCATAGAGTCGAAGTAATTAGTTTCCAGCAGTAATTGGACCAAGAATAAAACTGTCAACCTCCTGTATTACTTAGACGTTTATTATGAATTTAGACATATTTTAGATAACAACTTCGCACAATAATAATTCAATAATTTTATTGATCTAAGTTTTTAATCTATTCTGCCAAAATATGTCATGTACTACTATTGACCTTTTTAAATTTGACTCTATTTTAGGTACTAAGGGAGTAATTTTTTTTTTATTTAGCTTAAAAGATATTTTACATTTTCCACGTAATTTTCCCGTCGCCAACGTTGACACGTGCGACTTTGGCTACTTTTCCGGTACCATTAATCATTGCCAAAACTCCGTAGGAACGTTTGAACAAAGTCTGTTTACTACTATTGTGGATGAATTTTAAACGATGTATTTAAATAACATCATAGCAATTCTAATAAGTTACATTAAAAAAGTAAATAGATTTTTTTTTATTCTTTATTGCAACATATTAAAAGTAGATACACATACACATACACATAGAACCTAGTTATTAAAAATAATTAATGTATTCAATACAATACTGTTGTAATTAAATAGATAATCTCAATATGTTCAATATAAATAACAATAATAATTAACAATGTCAAATAATACATATATTCTAGAATAATATTGTATATATTATTTCAAAATTAATACAAATTACGTGTTTTTATTCTATTATGTTAAAATTATTTTTTACATCTTCTGTTAAACTTGTATTATGATTTGTCAGCTGTACTATCGTATTTGTAATGATGTATAATTAGTCTAGTGAAACAAAACTAAACATTCAATAGTTAGATTAATCGAAACAATATGTACAATTACAGATTTTTTATTCGTACCTACTGCTTTTTACAACACTAGACCGTCTATGGTCGAGTTGAAATCTTCTTTTTTTTATTTTTTTCAATTCTATTGGCAAGACGTAAGAATATTCCTAATATATATAGAACACCCAGATCGATAAAAAATCCTACTCATGAATACAAATGTTTGTACCGTGAAGAAAGCTAACCGGCGATCTTTGGAGACCATCACATAAAGGTAACTTTTAATTACATTTACAATATAATACATTTTTCAGTAAACATAGCTGTTTATCTATACATAGTGTTTCTATGTTAGTCGTTTATAATGTATCTAAATGTAGGTATCAATATTTTAAATTAAAGATGGATAATCATTTTATTGAGTAGGTATGAGACCATTTTATGAAGGGCGGACTGAGGCAACAGCGGCGCACCATTCCGTATTCAGGCGAACTTATTCACCTTTGAACTTTTGCAATCTCCAGCCGACCCTTCCGAGTCGCATCTCTCCATACCCAAAAGGGTCTCGTTAGACTAACTTTACACGTGAAGCAGACAAGTGTGTAATCCTTTCCTTTAGAGGCACATGACCTTATTTTATGTAGGTATCACCTTATATTGTAACTATTGTTGATCTGGAAATATAAAGTACTTACGACCCGCCTATACTTCAAGCAGATGCATTGCATTCTTTTTAATTAGTCGGTGTTTCTGTAAATATTATTATTATATATTTTTATATATAAACTTTCCTTTTGAATCATGTTTCGTAATTTAAAAGATCAAAACGTATACACAGCGGTGGCGACTTTATTTAATTCTATATAAAAATTTCAATACTACCCCGACTTAAACCCAAGGGCGTTAGTGCAAATCTGGTCGACACTAACATTTCTGTGTCAAATATATATATCAAATTGATTTTCCAATTTTCTAGTTATGCAAACACAGATATCAAACCAACAAACCTGAGTAAAAACGACTCACCTTCTGCCATGTTGGATTTTTTTTCCTAATATTATGTAATATTATCTTAACTGTGCTAATATGCTATATATATGTATATATGTTCAGGGAGTAAGCGATAGTTCATAATGCATCTGACTACTCCATCAGGAATTACAGTAATGCAAAATTACAAGTGAGAGAACTGGCATATTTACCTGTAATATATTACAGTAATACACAATAATCGTATTCCAATTACGTACCTACTCTCCCTCTTAATAAGTATAAGAGGGAGCAAAGATTTTAATATAGACGCTCAAAGTCCTAAAGAGATACGCCGAACGAAACACGAAAGTAGATTTTCTACACAGACGGCCGTCGTCTAAGGCTTTGTGAACGTTTTGTGCGATATTAAAAAATGATGAGCAGGCGTAGAGGGTCCTAAAACCAAATCAAATATAAGGAAATTTTATTTAGTTGAAACATAAATTTGCATGAACTTTTTTTATGTGATTGGAATGACGAACAGCCTGTTAGTAATACATCACCAAGGTTATCACGTTATTATGTTATACAGCTCATACGTAGCCATTCCGGACGACTAAGTACTATTCGTCCTTATTCTGTAATTCCACTGCCTTATCTACCCTTCAACCGAGACACAATTTCTAAGAAAAACATATTAAAAAACTATAACAAATTAATATCAGTCATGCACCACCTTGTCTTTTCTCCTCTATCCAAAAGTTGTCTGAAAGACATCACTTAAACGATTAGACCGCCTTTTGTACCAACATACCCTAAATATTCTGTTTTCTTATGTACTTTTTAAGGTGCAACAAGGACAACCTATCACAATCCACTCTTACATCCATTTCCAGTTTATAGAAACTGTTATAACGCAACATATACATATACATAACGCAATATATATGTCACCTATAAATATATATTGTTCAGGACATGTATAGCGGCATGTAGGTAAGATGAAACACAACTTTGTACACCTTTATGTTGCTTTAAACGATTTATATGAATAAACCGCGCTACTTCGTCTGCTTCTCATTTACTTATAGTTAAAAATAAAATATATATCTAATATTTGTAATTTACTTACAAATATTCTACCAGCTTAGAATCTATATGTATTGATGTCAAACGACCGTTATAATATAAATTATTGCCTATATTTTATATAGGCAATCTTTAGCTCCTGCCTGCCTACACATAGTCCGACAAACGACTTTCAGAGGGCAGGTAATACAGTTACGTTCCATTTTATCGCTGTACCGCTTACTAATAATAACAAGTCCACCGTATCAACCTAATCAATTATAACGTCCCCTTTCGATCAAATGCTTCATAAAATACGCTGTTAATTTTTATACATAAAAGGCTGTTGTAGACGAAAATTTACTGTAACGATACTATTATGTTCTCCGACACAATTTGTATTGTTTTAAATTAATAAATAAAGAAATTATATTTTAGACGCTAGGTAATAAAGGTGATAGTATTTTTTAAGGGAAGATAATGGAATGTTGATCCTGCTTGAGGTAACGGTATAGGTACGCTGGCGAGGCATTAGTAAAAGATGATAGAATAAGCATGAAGTCAGATCGTGGCGAATTTACCAGATATTGGCCATGATGGGCAAACTGACCTAACATATTTTTTTCAATCTTCAACGGCGACATGATCGATAGTAACTCATTTTTGGATTTACACTTTGTTTCTTAGTGAGAGTAACTATTTCACGAGTATTTCACTCAACCATCAACTAGGTTGCCCTTTTCGACTAACACTGCGTGGGTAGTGAAGCTTGCTTGCTGTCTAATAACCTATGTATCTAAATCTCTCACCAATTTCTTAAGACGTCACTTTGAAGATATGTCTAATTTATAAACTAATCCTAATATAATTCATAAACGTGTTAGAAATGTTTGCAATATAGGGTATTAAAATCATATATATTTATTATAATTTTTATAATTATAATTTATTTTTTTACTATAAATACCGCATTATGCATTTTATTCTCATCATACTGCATATTTGTGAATATCCTTAAGCCTTAGGTATCAACTGTATACCTATTTATACATAAGACGGCAGTATATACAATATATTATTTTATATACAGTAATGTTAAAAATTAACATTTCTGTACATAAAATAATAAAACAATAAGTAAATTAGACAATTTACTTACAAAAATCTGAGCCTCTCCACGAGTCTATTTAATAAATTCACTATTTAGGACCACATTTTCGAACAAACACCGACTATAGATTAGATACCTATATATATTGTTTAATGGCTACTGTGGAATTAAAATAATATATAATTAGAAAAAAAACATTTTTATTAATTAAAATTATCATTACACATAATTCAATTGTTTAAGTAAATATCAGGCACAATTGTATTACTTTTGTTTTCTAAAAGGAGATTACTAACCTTCAACTTTTAAAACAGACACTGTACCACAAGTGAGTTTTTTATAATGTACTACTACACTACTAGGTCAACACAAATTAATCAATGAGAAACTTAACTATATGGTATCTGTTAAAAAAGTGTTCATAGAAAAAAACTTCACTTGGTACTGATGGTACTTATTTCTTACACATAGAATCTTAAATATGATTTTACATAAATGTAATCTTCGTCCGAACTTGATTTACTTGCCATACATTCAAGTTTTCGTACTGTTCGATGCAAGCGTCCACCTTTAAAACAATGAGTAGAATTTTAGCTTTGTATTGCACAAATATCATACATTCCACATAATGCAACAGCCATTATAACGTTCTATTTTAAGAACAATAAATATAAAAATCTACAAATTGATACTTTAATACAATAAATTAAATAAGTACAGAACGTTATACTTATTCATATTTTACACGAACATTAGAAAGCGTAGTTAGTATTCAGAGTAAAACTGTTCAATTTTGCAAAAAAAAATTAAGTTAATTTTATTTAACTGAGACCTTTCTGCTTGCCTAAACTTTCCACTAAAAGATAAAACACCGAAATTCTAATGTAATCTCTAAAGCTTAATATATAGAATCTTATGAAATACTTTTAACTTTTAGGTATTTTATACGGGTTTCGGTTGAATAATAATTGTTAGATAAAACTTAAATGCGAGTGTTTTAAATAACTTACTTGATCAGGTTTAAATCCTTTGTCGACACATCTCTCTATTACGTCCGCAATTTTGACAGTTTGATTCGAACCGGCCAGATCGCGTACAATCGCGAATATTCGATCCGTAGAACTTATGCCCCTACGGCAATAATAAATAATTTTATTCTATAATTCATATTCAATAATATTATGGTTAATTTGAATAAATAATATATCGGTGCAATATTACATTACGGGCTGACTGCGTCTGCGTCATACTTTCATCATTTTCCTAATGCCCTTCCTTCTAATAAATACAATAAAATATCCATACCTCTGCACATTATCTTCGACATGCTGTAAGGATTGTTTTGACATGTCCACTAGCCGGATCGCTTCTGCCACGTCCTCCTTCTCCACCACATCAGACAACCTAAAAATATAAGTTATGATTACCAGTGAATTAAGAAATATACATACAGTTATAATAACTTTTAGCTATCAACTTATAAGCAACACTAAAGTTTCTTGCTCGTTCTTCGTGTGATGATAAGGCTTTCCGAACGAGCGGTAGATAAAAAAATTTGTTATGACTATTCAAAAGTGCTTAAATTAAGTTTATTTTAATAAATGATTTTCTATTCTATTCTATTCTACAATAATAATATTTGGAATTGATAGTTTTCTGGTGCATGTCAGAAATTACTAAATTTGTGAAATAAGGGAATTGTTAACGGGAGAGAATTGTACCTCCAGTGGAAACCTCTAGAGGAAACTGTCTGTGTATTATTTATTTTAAAGGCATCAAGGATGGTATATTATTCAGTAATGGAGAATTACTGAATAATATACCATATTTGATGTCTTTTAAGTCTTCTGTAATTTATTGGCTTACATAGTACTGTTGCAAGGTATATATAGATAAATATTTTATATATAGAGTATGCGTCCCTATAGGATCTCTACATGCTCTTACTCTGTATTCTACTTTTTCCCTGACTGTTCTCACTCCTGTGTACTCCTGCAACACTGTTGTTCTGATGAATACATAGATCTATTGTGCTCGCCCTTTTTCAGAGTTCGCTACCTACACGTAAGGGGCAAGAATTGAAAGTCAGTATAGAGTATATACTTTCGAGATAAGCATGCTAATAAACAAATAAAATATAAGTTAACATACCTGAGACGCGCTAGTGCCGTCGACAGTCGCAGTACCGCGAGTAGATTCCTGGCCGATGTAAACGTGACGTCACGAGCGTTACGCGCTTCACGCCGCATCTCTACGTACGATGCTGCAATCAGTCAGTTAAATTAACCATATCACAGGAATAGTATGCTCCTACATAGTCTGATTTGTAGTTACTTAACAAGCATCGCCTTATTTCAACAAGGGAAAATTGCCCTTAATTTAATAAAAATAAATAAAGAAATTCTGTATTTTTATTTTATAAATTATATTATACTACACAATTCATAATGTATCGGATGAATAAATAAACAAAAAAAATAAATTTAGAACATCTGTTAAATCATATTTGTTGAGCAATGCCTATTAATCATTAAACGATTACTTGAATGACAAACGTGCATGGCAACAGTTGTTCATGCAAGGGATTTTCATTTAATGTTAGACATAGACAGTAGGTGTCTATTTCTAACATTAAATGAAAGTCCGTATAATAATATTTAATATAGGGAAAAAATATTGATTCAGAAAATTTTACTTTCATAAACGGCTAAAATGTCCTACATGAATAAATGTTTTTTATTTGAATTTATTTTAATACTCACAAACGATGTAGTCGGCGAGGTGCGGGGGCACGGCGGGCTGCTTGCGTCTGGTGAGCGCTACGTAGCGTCGTACGAGCCGCATGGGCAGCGCGCGACGCGAGCTCGGCGGCTGCTGAGAGTGCTGATGCACGTACGCTATGTGCTTCGCCAGCTCCAGATCCTTCTCCCTGACACGACAGACAACTGCCTTTACATGTAGGTAACTTACTACGCTCTTCACGATGCTTTCACGCAGAAAATAATGTGTATGTAAATGTAGACATGATGACTATAACATGAAAGTCTTCTTGATTTAAAACTTAATGATTAACGAAAATTATATTCGCCACTATGATACTATGATAAAAATTATATCTCTTAACATACTTTTTCATTTACCAGAAGTGGATTGTAAGAAGTCGTCTGCGTCGATGTCGCGCCTATTTCAGCTACCAAGCAGCTTGCTTTGTAAGCTGTGTTAGGGTTGTAAAGTGCAGATTATGTGTTACACACACATGTTACATACAATGTAGATAAAGAGAACGAGAAAGCCCGCGCGCCGCCAGTTTGCGCATTCTGCGGTCTTCAATCGTGCTTGTTTTAGCTTTTTATATTAATTAATTATCATTACTTTATGTGTAGAACATCTGATTAGAGTAAAGACATAATTATAAAGTTATTGATATTATTTATAAATCTTAAACGGATAAAAAATAAAGTTTTTCAAGATAGTGATATGACATGAAACAAAAACGCAGGAAAGAGTGAACATAAATGCAAGCAATCACAATTGCGCACGCTGGCTTTCCCGCGCTAAATAGCCCATTGTCCTGGTAGCGTGTAAAAGAACTTGTCATGTAAAGGCAACTAATTAAAAGTTTGTTTCAAATTTTGAATCTTGAGAGTAATCTTCTGAACAGTTCTGAATCTTCTGAACGAAGACAACAATCTTAAATCATTGCAGTCATGTCAAATCATTAGATATTTCAAAATATTGCCAATATCAAGTCATCCATTAAAATAATTTAGTGTTAAAAGAAATAACAAAATATTTAACTGTACTGTTCGTGATCCCTCGATTTAACTTCCACACACATGACACTTTTTAAAAAAAAGTAATTAAATTGGACAACAAAATCAGATAACGTTGGTTGCACTGTCAATTAAACATAGCAGATGGAATGACAAGTTGATACATTGTTAGTTTCTGGGAAATACCAGATACACGGCATTTGATAATATTCAATTGTTATAATTGAGGCCACTGTATCTAAATTAGTATCATTCAGATTCACATGAAACCAAAGTGATGCATGATACTGCATTCATTTCCTTAATATCAACGTATAAATTAAAAATATAATAGATAATACTAGCGGTGCCCGCGGATTTGACCCGCCTGGAATTTATAGCCTATATGTTATTCTGATGTATGAGCTATATTACTGTAAAGTTTCATCAAAATCCGTTCAGTATTTTTTGCGTGAAAGAGTAACAAACATCCATCCATATTCACAAACTTTCGTGTTTTTAATATTAATAAGATATCAAGGCTATGTTCCCTTTATTCATAAATTAGTGGAAAATAAAAATATCTTTGTTAATAATAATAAATTACACCATTATTTCTGTTTTACACTTTATAGCATTTTAACGTTTTACATGCCAATTACAATTTTGGCGGGACATGTAAGAACCTACGAATATTATATGACCTTCATTATGGACCATGTAAATAAATAAATCAATTCATATACTTTCAATATACATCATATGTGTTTCATAAAACTTAAAACATTTCAAAATTATTTAATTAAAAAAAATTACAACGTTGCTAAATATAAAATAGTGTTATATATACACTGAGGGACATGTTAAATTTATATATTTTCTTGCGAATGCAAATAAATTAACATTCGGCTTAATCCTTTACCTGTTGGGTTTATCCTGTATGAGCCACAGCAGATCAAAACGCGACAGTAAAGCGGCCGGTAGCTGTATATTCTGTTCGATGGTGCGCTTCGGATTGTATCTACCATACGCGGGATTCGCCGCAGCTAATATTGACACGCGAGCGTTGAGACATGTCATTATTCCCGCCTGTAAAAGTTAACTAATAGAATACCTTACTAAAATATTTTTGTTTCATTTTTTAATTAATATCTATGAGCTACAACTGAGTTAATTATTAACATGAAAAGGCTTTTTCAAGGTATGTTATACACGCCACGGATGAAAATTATTTCACCAACTACTCGTCGTTTCATCCCGGAATACATCGAATGAACAAATGGTGCTCGCATCCAACGCTTTCCAGCGATCTAGACCAAATAATCGAAGAGGACCGTCATAATTATTTTTTCGTATACCATAGGCAGACTGTGGATACATCAGTACCTATTTCAGTTGTCAAACAGGTTGCTTTGTAAGCTGTGTTTCGGTAGCAAGATACAGATTAAGCAGACAAATTACAAAATAAGAGGCACGGCATTTCACTTAGAGTTCTGAAATACCAAAGCACACAGACTGGTATCACGGATATCACATAATAACGTGATGTCCATTGTGCTGTCATGTAGATAAGCTACGGTTATCGCTTGCCATCAAATGGAATGTCAGTTTGATTGCTATTCCAATTAAATAAAAAAAAATCTATAGATAAAACAGTCTAGTCCTTATATCTCGACAGATACCTTGGCAATACTAATGGTCTGTTGCTCCATGACCTCGTGTATGGCTGTGCGGTCAGTTTCCGCCATCTTATCGAACTCGTCAATGCAGCATACGCCCTGATCAGCTAAAACGAGGGCTCCCCCTTCTAACATCATCTCTCCAGTGAATGGATCCTAACAAACAAAAAGGGTATTTAGATCATGGCATTAAGGCGACGCATTGCAAATATTGACCTCAGATACCTTAACTTTTCTCAGCAATTACAAATCATTCGGGGCTGATATTTAGGTATTTCATTTTTCAGATCTTTGACATCATATTGACAGTTCTCGTTACATGATTGATTAACTTTTGTAGCAGAGAAAAAAATCTCAAAGATTGGTCTTATAAAATATATTTTTGATTCGTATAAGAAAACGAGACTGATTTAAGACTCGAATTTTCCAATATACACTATACTAAATACCCACATAGATAGTACCATTCAGATGTATATAATAACCAATAGTTTTTATTTTAAACAAGATAAACTGTTTTTCCGCAAAAAAATCTCTTGTTCACAAGTTGTTTTGTATGAGAGTTAGAGCAAGTCAGTCAGTCCCCGGCCCCTGCCAACGTCGGACCTGTGCTTAGCGCGGAGAGCTCGCCTGAGAACGCGCGCTATCAAATCGTAAATTATTTCGTCATACACCCGCACCATATTATAGCGTACGCTATAATATGGTGCGGGTGACAGTTACTAATTTGACATTTAACAATTACTGTATTTAAGTTAATACAGTTAGTAATGATTTATTGTACATATTACGAATGTAATACTAAGTAATAATTTGTAAAGTAGTGACAATTAATTGTTAAAAATGATAAAAAACTTTTAGTATTAATGTAAAGAAATGGTTAAGAAAATATAAACAAATTTTACATTATTTTGATTTCGTAGTTATTTATAAATAAAAATGGGGCACTCCCATTATCTATACATATAAATAAAATTGGAGTGTTTGTTGGTAATATTGAAATAACAGTTTTTTACTACATGCATATAAATATAAATACGTTAAATACACCAAAATAACATTTTTTACCAATTTTGTCTGTCTGTCTGTCTGTTTGTTCCGGCTAATCTCTGAAATGGTTGCACTGATTTTGCCGGGACTTTTTTTGGCATCTGGCTAAAATAAATAGTCTTGTACGCCGTTTGGTAGGCTTTTACATTATTTTATTGTAAAACTAATTTTATTTTTTATTTCTTAACTCAAGAAGTTTTGTTTTGCTTAGATGTTTTTTTATTTCGTTAGTTGCTGAAGTAACAGGTACAGGTAAATAATACTTATTTATGCAATTACCTTTCATTAGACGTTAAGAAGAATTTTAAAATGTTGATAACTGTTTATCTAGAACAGGGGTGATCAACCTTTTTTATCAACGGGCCAATTTAAATTTTAAATATTTTGACGGGTCGCACCTAAAGTAACACTTATTAATAATAATTAACAAAATTATTTGTAATGTAATGTAATTTATTTGTAATAAATATTTACATGATATTGAGACACAAAACCCTCAATAATGTAGGGTATCCGGCCGTTTTACCAATATGTCCCGCCAAACTGGATGGTCTGTCCGGCTATTAGGATTGGCGAAGTGACAACCCTACACCCAAAGAAAAAATCGACTGACTCATTATAACAAAGTAAAATCGTGGAGTCGTCTATGAATTTATACAAAAATTAAATATTGCTGTAACTTAATTCTTTTACTATTTAAAGTAATGTAATCATTTAGTTACCCTTTTTACATTTTTTACGCTATTTTATTTACTTATACGAATAAATGTTATACGTACTAATACTAATAATATATAATATTGAATCCAAAATAAAGTATTTTTTTCTCAATGTTACTACATATTTAGTGTAATCAAAAAACTTATTGATTGTCAATAATTTCACAAAAATATTATTTAATTAATCATTGTTGTCTGTCCGACTATATGTTGGAGTATCACATAAAAAATTGTGACATATTTTCAACTTTATTTTCCCCGATAAGTACTTTTTATCTGTAGTAAGTCTAGGTAAGCACTTGTCTTTGTAGCTATGGAAAGCAAAACAAAGTAATAGTGAAATATTTGGCTTCGATTATACTATACAGGCTGTCCCAGAACTCAATTTCAAGCAGTGAGAGAATTGATTGTAACCATCATGAGAAAAATCAGAAAAAAATCTATCCCATGCAGTTTGAAAATTAGGGGCATTAAAGAAAAACTTAGAAATTTGGTCAAACTATAACCATTATTCGGTCATTGTGCTTAATTTTTATTATTTTTGTTCATTTAAACTTTGGAACCATAAAGCCAAATAACATTTCTAGAATCACAGTAAAAAATAATGATACAATTGCCCCAAGTTTTCTAGAATTAAGACTATTAGCTAAACTATATTTTTTCATAAATTGTCGAGTTTTAAAGGCCCTCCTTTAAAAAAATGTACTAAAGTGCCTTGGCAAGTGCCATTAAAAGTTCGGACATTTAATCAGGATTGTAAATGTACAATAGTACACTTGTTGTAGTACACTTGTTAGTTTCATACTAAAAAAAAACGAGAAAAAAACCTCAAGTAACCCGATTTTTGCTAACCCATTTTACTCCGTTCAAATGTTTCTTATTCACACAAGCTTATAGTAGTAGGTTCTTAATTTTACGTCAAAATGATAAGAGAAATGGGTAGTGGACATGTTGTCGTGAGCGAGCGAGACAGATGTGCCACCCAGTGAGACGGAGATGCGTCATTTAAACGCGCGCGAATGAAACAGATACAGTCGCCATACCAAGCAAATGGCTACGCTACCAGTCTGACACCAGTTAGTACATTTTGCTCATTCTGTTTCAGCTTCAGCTCAGCCTACTGCGCGTCTTTCCGTATTCGCTGTTGTTGGCTTCTCTTTTTGGACTTGGATTTTTGTGAATTGAACTTGTTGATTCCATACCGACAACTTTGGGTTGTCTCTTTTGGAATTGGACTTTTGTGTTGGTATCCTTGTTATTTACTTCACAAAAAATTGCGAACAAGCACCTCATTTATGAGGAATGCAGATGCAATGCAATTGCTGCCGCTAGGCTTTATCGTGAAAGATATCCAAATTTAGAGCGCTATCCAGATCACTGCTTATATGTACCGGCCGCACTCACGGAGGGCGGCCATTTCCCGAATCAAATACGGGCTGGAGGTAGAACTCGCTTTCCTTACGAGGAAGAAGTGTTGCAAAAGGTCGCAGATGACCAAAATATTTTCGTATGTACACAAACGAAAATACTTTTCTTCTTTTTTCGTTTTTTTTTTCTTTTTCCCGTTCTTTCTTATTGTAATAGCACAGCACATCGTATTTTACAAATACCCGAAATGCATCCGTTTCACGTACAACGAGTTCAAACTTTTATTCCTCAATATTATCCTTATTTAAATAAACCTAAACTAGGTTAAGATTTTTCTTTATTTTAATTATTTTACTTACTTTTGTTGCCTTTGGTAAAAGTGGCGTCATATCTGTCTCGCTCACTCATGGCAAACATGTCCACTATCCATCTCCCTTATTATTTTGCCGTAAAATTAAGATTCCTTGGTAGGTCCAAGGAAATAAATAAATAAAAAAGTGAAATAATGAAAAGTATTATATAAATTTATTAAAACGTATGTATTAATACGTGACAACTTTTTATCCTTTTCTTTTTATCGTAATAACTTTTTATCTTTTTTACGAAAAACAGCGCGGACGGATGAATATGAAATTTCGCGTACTTATAGTTTATATAGAGAAGGTTTGCAGAATAGTCATTAAATTATGCATAAAAATATAAATAATCATGTTCAAACCTATAATTATTCAATAATTTCATTTGTATGAAGTTAATAGATCTTTTATGATTAGGTTGTAATTGTTTACGTCCTTTTTACATGTAATTAAAACTTAATATTTATTATAATAATTTATAAATTACTGTAAAAGTTTTACTATTTTGTCATAAAGTGTATATCTTTACGTACTTTACTGTTATGTTATGTTTATGTTTTAGAAAGTATATTTTTAAAAATGCGTAAGTAATTTAACATTATATGTAATAATGTTAAATTACTTACGCATTTTTAAAAATATACTTTCTAAAACATAAAGAAATAATGTCCACTACGCGTATCAAATAAATAAAATTAAAGTCACATACATTATTACTAAATTTAGGTTTATTGTATCAAATATATAATATATATAGATTTTTTAATTGATATACCTATCATTCACAGAAACGCAGACTTATTGTCTCTTTTATAAAGTAACTAACCTTCGTATATTTTCACATTTCATTTAACGTAAGTACGTTAATGTAGTATACATTAAAATATCTAGCTGTTTCAAAAAAATGTCGTTGGCAAATAAATAAACGTCGTAATTACCAATTACAATATATATGGAAAACACAAAGATTATATTTTGGTATTTCTTTCAAAGATAGTAATAAAAGCACTAGTTTACGTTAATTATAATCACGGGAATATGTAACTCTACCTCAATATTTCTATTTAATTCTTTACTTTAAGAATCTTTTTAATTAATTCGTATCGTAGTTAGTTCCACTGTATTGTAAATTCTAAAATATCAATGTGCCTTCATAAATATAAATTATATAAACAAACAGGAAGACTCCGTAATAGTTTTGTTCAATTGGGGACCGAAGCTTCGTCTACTTGATTCACGCGTTACATTGCGACACGGACGCGTGTTCGTGATATCGTGGTACGGGGAGAGCGAGCGAGCGCTGGCGGTCGATCGGCGACACGTAAAACTATCGGGGTGCATGAGGTGCGCAGAGCGCGGGGCCCGATTTTGAAGTAATAGTTTATCACGGCGTCGCCTTAAAAGAAGCTCTTACTGTTGTAGAGACTGGACCGGACAACACAAATTTAGTTAGTGATTAGTATAATGTACATTATCTATAAAACACAAGGATTTTTAAAGAAAAAATTTAAAATATTAGTTGACTGGCTAGGGAAGAAGGAAGTAGACATTTTCGCAATTTCAAATACTGAAATAGAGTCAGAATATATACAAATGGAAATATAATGTATAACAAATCTACATCTTAAAATTCAGCTTAGTTTCAAATTAGATGTTGCTTTGTTATTTATAGTTATTGATTTGTTGTTGAAACAAGACTTCAGTTATTTCCATCTGTGCTTGTGAGAACCTACACGAAATCAGAGAGAGGGGTAAAGAACGCTGTTTAGATTCCTAGAGGTTCACATTCTACCCAGTTATAAGATTGTTCTCCTGTTTCACCAAGAAATGTCATTAAAAATAACGCAAAAGCAAAGAGAGTCAGAAAACATAGATACCTTCATGACTGCGGCGGTGAGCCCCACGCCTGAAGAGCCGCGGCCTGTGGTGTACTGCGAGCGCGGCGCGAGACGGTCGATGTAGTTCAGTAGCTGAGACTTAGCAACGCCGGGGTCGCCCATCAAGCAGATGTTGATGTTACCACGGATTTTCATGCCGTTAGGCCGCCTACGAAACAATAGGGTGCATTTTAATTTAATTCATTAATTATCAAATTCGTCCCTAAACTAGGGACGAATTATGATTAATATGATAAAAAGTAGTCTTAATAATGAATTAAGAATACTTAATGCACCATAACACGCTTGGGGATCAGAAATCATATACATGGGTTATGGCATAACCTTGCATTATTATTATTTGATAGAAATAGACGAAGTTATAGTATAAAGTGCAAGTATAAATTGATTTTGACAATTATTTTTAAATTGTTTTCGTCATTGTAGTTCACAATATTAAAATCAATTCTTTTAACTGATATCATGTAATGAGTAAATTCCAGATAATTTGTAATATTACATAAATACACTAAAATAATTAATAAATAATATGTAACAAGGTTTATAACATATACATTTTAAATAGTCGGCAAAGCGAGGCATCCTTAGGCTATGGTAGCCATTTACTATCAGATGGGCCATATGGCTTTTTTGCACCATCGTAGTATAAAAAAAATACATACTTGTCCACACCGCCAACAAGCAGCAACAATAAAGCTTTCTTCACATCCTCATGTCCGTATATCTCCGGCGCCAAACTCTGCGCCATTCTCGAGTACAGATCTTCCTCCGCCAACTCTGCCAACTCTTCCTCTGTAAGGGCTTCGGCAACCTCATTCTCATCACTTTGATTTAAACAGGATACACTCTGACAAAAAATTACAAAAAATTTTATAAATTATTGTGCTGTCTTATTTCATTCCAAAAATATCAAAGACAATTGGACTAGAAACAAGGTGCTAATAACCAAGATAATTATCTATCACACAAGGGACCAACTCCTTATGTAGTGGTAAGCACAGTGCCCTATGTAATATCCAGGTTTCAATTCTAAATTGTTTTAAGTTTGGCTGAAATCTTATTGCTACATTATTATCTTATCATTTCACCTATTTCAGTCCACAGTTGAACACAGGGCATTCCTATAAACTACCATAATCTATAATCCTAAGCCTGAAGTACAACACAATTATTTTTGGTGCTTGACTTACAACTTTATAGGTATATGATGGTCACTTCAGAATTGTTTTTATCAAGCAGTTTAAACATCAACTGCTCAGGAACAACAATTCTTAAGTTCTTGCCAAGAACTCAAAGACTGAATATGCCGAACCAAATTTTATATATCTCCTGCATAGTACTGTGTCTACTCTTATATATTTAACACAATTTGTATTTCGAAAGTAGATTTAACAAAGATTAAAGAAGAAGTACTTATAAGAGACTCACATGAGCTTCAAGGTATGTATCAGAGAGCAGTCCTTGAACGATCTGCTTGAAGCCGGCGCTGAAAAGCGGTAGGAAGATGCCGGTGATGGCCACGTGGTCGCCGGGCTGCGCGCGCCGCGTCGTCTCTCCGCGACAGTACACCGACAGCTGCCGTGGGATGTGCCCCACTGGCACTTGATCGGACTGTTTATTAACGATAATAATTGAACAACAAATTCTTAAATTAATTTATTAACATATTCATACATAACGACACCACATTAAGCCATATTGACAAATAAATCAATAGAATTTTATACATTTTGCACTGGCTTTAGAAAAAGAAGTTTTCCTCTCCGCCACACGATGGACCCGACACCCGCGCGGTAAATCCTTGGAATGCTAAGAAGTTCCTCTGCCTGTAATAATATAAAGTAAATGTACTTTAAAATACTAACATGTTCCTGTATTTTCAACTCCTGAAACTTCTGAAATCTGGAGCCCCTGGTCTGCAAATGTAGCTGCCCGGCGGTCTTGTTCAGGCGACACTCGTCGGCCGAGCACGCTGGCGGCGGCGTGAACTGCAGCGCTCTCACTGGCTGGTACGTCTCCGCGCCGCAAGCACTGCACGAGTACGTCGCTACAACTAGCAGCGGCTTCACGTCCGTGCAACGCGTCACGATACCTGCAGTATACCAGAGCTAGACTTTATACAAAGTCGTCTACATGGGTGAATCTATCTGACCTTTTTTTGTGGATGTGGAATATACTAGCTTGCATGAATATTTTATCATCCTACACTGGCTGGACACTAGTGGAGGATGATAAAATGTGCATGATATGAGGAATCCCATCTTAGCAAATGGGAATTTAAATCAGATATGATACATAATTAACCACATTAGTCCACCTTACTAAGTATCCCCTTCATTCCTATCTGACCCCTTTCATCTAGCCACAAAGCAACTTTGCAAGCTCTCTGTTTACAGTCATAAAAATTAAACTATGTAATGTAATGTGAAATAAAAAAAATAGTAAATTATGTATGTAAACAATGTAATAAAAAATGTAAACTAAACTAAAAAGATTAGGTATATGAGATGATGTAAATCAGTGTATGAAATAACTGTGGTGTATCAAAATTTATTACCTTTTACTGTTACAAGTTTGCCAATATGTTCAGCTTTCACTTCTCTTATTGGAATTGACTTGGAGGTTCCCATATCCTTGAAATACACCTCGCTACAATAATACCATAAAGTTTATTACCATATTATTATTACCATACCAATTTACACAACAAAATTGTTTACTAATTTAACCCTTTGTACTCATATGTCCCCAAATGGGGAACATCAGTCATATAACCGTCGCATTTCTATGTTCCCATACAAGGGACATCAGTTGTTTTACCATTGTGCTTGTGACATACAAGCACAATGGTAAAACAACTGATGTCCCACATGGAGGACATCACTTGTTTTATTGTTGCATTTGCATGACCAATTTTGGTCATACAAATACAATGATAATGATGACCTTTGTCATCGCATCTAAACCATTACAGTAATTCCACATTATTTGCTAACTTTTTAAAACATAATTATGAGTGCGAAGGGTTAATACAAAATGTGAGGAAGTTATTTAAATATTTTTTGCACAATAACTTACAATCGCCTGATAAGCTCTGCAGGATATCTATTCCTTGGGTCTCTCATCTCTCCTGGTATTCTATGATTTCGTGCTTCTAACATAATTCTATGTTCAATGTACACATCTAAAGAATCTTTAGCAGCTACCTGTCAAAACAGTTAAAAATTATTAGGACATGGGCTGTTAAAATGATGTTATAATATTTTCTACTATCTTTGTTGGATATAGCCCAGTAGTAACATTTCTACCCAAATATTTGAGTCCTGACAATTTCAATAAGAGATTTCTTTTCTCCCTTGATTCACCAGTTTTAACTATTATGAACAAAATTATAAGGCCTGTTTGTTTATGTTTACTTCACAAACTACACATGTTTAAAACATTTGTTCTGTTTATTCAGTTGGACATAGTTTATATATTATGTTAGTATATTTGTGCATAATAGCCACAATAGAGTGGTAGATAATAAAAAAAAATACAAATTAAAAATACTGAATAGGAAATCTTAAGAATTACCTCTCTGTGTTTGTATTCTGGCAACATTTCATACACAACATCAGAGACCATGGTGGTGTAGCGACGAGTATTCAATTTCACTGCTTCAGCCAATTCTTCATTGGACTCATGGAGGTCATCCAAGTCCACAACAAAGGCAGTCTAAATAAATATCAATGAAAAATTTAAAAAAATACATCTTAATGCCTGTAGGCAGACTATTAAATTTGTGTAGCTAAGTTTTACAAAAGTCTTATATTACACGATTTGCTGATGGTATGATTAAAATTTGTAATAATCTTAGATTGTATTCTTTTTCAAACATGTTGAAGAACAACTTTGATACAACTTGGTAGTAAGTTGCCAATAATTATTAGCGATCATGGAGCACCAGAAATATTGCATAAAATACTACTATAATTGCCTTCATTTTATTTCATTACACTCATAAAAACTCATGAGGAAGGATAAAGATATTAGTATATTAGGCCTCTGTACCCAATAATTGATTTACTTTTTTAAGTCTATTTAAGTGAAATAGATACTTGGCGAAAGAAATAAGAGAGACAAAGCACCCATAGATTATTATTCATTTAATGTATCATTACAATTTTTTTTTAAATTTGTAACAACAAAGCCAATGTTATATACTTATTGTTGTGTACGTTGATTATAACCTACCTGTTCCCTGTGGGCAACTCTTGTAAGCTGCTCTGCATACTTAAAGTTCTTATGTCCTTCGTCATCAGTTTGACAAAAATCGATGAAAAAATTTTTTAACGATTCTGAAAAACAAACATGAATTAAATTGAAAAATGAAAGTAAAAGCCGACGGCAGTCACACTCATTTTTGCTCACCTTTATCTGCACTATAATCACGCATAGCCATTGTAAATTCTTATATTATAACTTGAAGGATAAATTAAATCTTCTAGGATAAATTACTAATATAATATAATATAACTGAATATAAAGGAATGAAAAATAATCGTAAACAAGTAAAGTAATAATAATGTGATAAAATTGGCGCGTAAACAGCTCAGCCGTTTGATTGACGGATCACAAATAGCTGAGAGAGCGACAGAAAAAATACTGTAGTAGTAGTGGTATATTTTATCCACAAGTGGATAGGCAAAGGTACGAGACCATACAGCCTAATCCTCAGTAGTATTTCCATGAAATTCAAAAATTTCTTCAAGGCGATATCGCCAAATCTTTTCATTAATTATAAGTTTGTGTTAAGTCCATGTATGTGTCCATAATTGAAATGTTTATAATTCTCCAATAGTTGCTATGATGAAGTCGTAAATTGGTTTAAAAGTTGCAGTGCATTTGAATAGTTCTTGAAGCGATGGCGGAATAATCTTATATAGTTCTTGAAGCTTAGTAATGAGCAAAATTCTGTTTAAATTAAAGGCTGGGCAATCAAAAAATATATGTTCTAATGTTTAATTTTCGTTACTAGAGCATAAAAGACAAATCGGAGAATTAATGATCTTCATTCGGTGTAAATGTGCATTGAATTTACAATGTCCAAATCGCAGTCGACAAATTTGAGTATAAAATCTTCTCTCTAAAAATATTTTTCCCTGAATAAACCAGGGTTTTTTGCCAATAGTACTGTTTATCCCAGAAAAAATACTTGTTTGTTTGACAACAACACCATAGCACGGCCAATTTCAAACAGGGGTTGCCAGGCTTAAAACATTTTGCTTCGATCGAAGAAGTATAAATTTCATATTTTGTCAAATTTTGACCTCGTACGTCGTCGTATTTTGCTGAGTATAATGAGGTTATCATCATACACACGAGTAGTGAGAGGGGGAAGTTTGAGTCCTCGGCGCAAACTGCTTGCGTGCAAAAATGACACGTTATAAATAGGCACAAAAACTATACTAACGCAAAAACTAGGGACAATAACAGATACAATATTTCATTCATAATTTAAGAGCTACGCTCTTATCGGTGGAGCAATATTATGAAGATGAAAAATGTTATACCTACAACAAAGAATAGAGAATGTGACTTAAGATCTGGAGAATATCATTGCTTGGAAGGAAGTTAATGACTTAAGTCAAATCATATTATCTCAATCACAACCATACAAAAACTTGCAGACCAGACTTGGCTGTATGGGCGCAGTTCCTATTGCCTTTCCCGTAAAGTTGTTGTTTTTTTAAGGATTATATATACACAGGACATACCAGAACAAAAAAAAACTGCCATAGACATTTTTTTTCTCCTTTTCAGTGATGGAACAGGCAAAGATCCTTAGACCGTACAGCCTAGTCTACGTTTGCCATAGACATATTATTTAATCTGTTTTAGATGTCAATTGTCATGTATAATTTTCGCGCTAAAATTGTAATTACATATTAATGTTTATTTTTACTCAAGTGAAATAGTGAGATTAATTTATATAATACATTTAATTAGTCTGCTTATGTATAATTCCCAATATACAGATGGCAGAATCTTTAGGCATGTATCTTTCAAGATGTTTCCCATAATGTTTTATAAGTAATAATTACTGAAGTTAACTGTTAATTACAGCTGGTCAACGAGCCAAGCGGCAAAAAGTTGATAAACATGGGCGCCTATCTGCATTTGAGAAACTTAAACAACTGAAAGGAAAAGGTTCGAAACATAAATACGACGTGGATAATTTAGAAAATGTTTATGATACAGTGGACGAAAGAGAATACAGTGAACGTGTATTGCAGAGACAAGAGGACGACTGGATAGAAGACGGTACATTTTTCTATATTAACTTACTTATTTATGTCTCACTATACTGTTTATTAATAGCATACAGTAGTTGTTTCCAAACTGTATTTGAACACACACCACTGTAGATTTATTTTATATCTGCAATGACACGCTTATGGCTTGTCTGATGTTAAGTGCAAAACTATGCCTTTGTTTAGAAACTGCTCAAGCAATATCATGAAATAAACTAGCAGAATTTTAAAAGTAAATGCATTTATGATGGTTCATGTTGAAAATAATTTATTTCTATTGGTAAATAGAAATGGAATAAAATTGATATTAAGATGACCACAAAATTTGGATAGTTGTATATTATAAGCAATTTATATAATTGTTATATTGAGTCAGTCAGGATTCTGTTATAATAAGCGATCCATCAATGAGTTGTGATCAAAATCATTTTTTATATGTATACATCTGAACAGTACATAGGAATAACTAAATGTTGAAATATATATTTACAATTGTACAAATTATATGATCAGGATTTTTACTATGGCAATAGTATATTAAATTAACAATTAATAACAAAAAATATAATAAATATTGTTTCATTTACAGATGGTACAGGTTATGTGGAGGATGGAAGAGAAATATTTGACGATGATGAAATTGAAGACACTTATGTTTCTGCCAATACCAAGGAAACGGGCAGGGGACAGAAGAGGAAGGCTAAAGTTGCTGCACCATCGTCCAAAGGCAACATAAGGAATCTGCTTGGTTCAATGCCTTCCAAGAAAAAAGAAGTTATTATCTTTATCTATTTAGATTAAATTAATAATATGATCAAAAACAAAAAAAAAATCACAAATTTTAGCTTTGTAATTTTGTGAATGTTATTTAATGTGGGAAATTATTTTGTATGTTTTGTTATAATTATATTAGCCACTATAATAGACTTATTCAGTTTGTAAGAACTACATCTGTTTAATAGAATCTAGATTCTTTGCTTCCTAGGAAGCAAAGAAATCAAGAGAACAATTTAAGTGTCTGTTTATAATTTTAAATTAACAGTTTTACGCTAAATGCATATATATGGTCCTTACATAGATAGATATACATTTTTTTTTCTCTTTTTAATTTAATAAATTACATATATCTTGTACACATAGCCCTAGAATTATTATCTATTATAATTAAAACATTTTAGGATACAAAAATATCTGATGACAATATTTTATCAGATATAATGTCAGATTTAGATGGTAGCAAACCATCTACAGTAAAACCCAAAGTATTAGTGGCACACAAGCCAAACCCTGTGGAGTCTAGTAAGAGAGAAGCACAAAACTACTTCAAGAACTTGTCTACTGCAATAAAAAAATCTACTGTACTCACTTCAATTAAAAAAGAAGTTCCAACAGTAACACCAGAAATTGTAAGTATTAAGATTTTACGTTGTCTCTTCCTACTACAAGTTTTTATTGCGATTAATCTACAGAATGAATAAATTTGCCTATATTGATTTCTTTATTGTATTATAGGAACAAATTATCAATACAAATGGTGTAAAAATAGGAGAGGAGGATAAAACCAATGATAAAGTGGTCACAAAAAAAGCAGAATGGAAAATAGACAAAGAAATTAAGCAAGAAACAGAAGATTCTGCAACACAAAACATAGAGGAGTTTGACACACAAGATGTAGATTTTAATGATGTTGATTTCACTGATGATGTTGTAACAAAATCTGTAGAAATAAAAAATGAACCTAATACAAAAGACACTATAACAGATGTGGCTGAAGAGTTCTTAAATGATGACTTTGATATATTTTCTCCAAAAAAAGAACTGAAACCACTATCAAGTACTTGGAATGACCAGATGGGTGATAACCAAGTTCAAGCTTCTATTCAGACAGATGGACAGTTGCCTCTTCACACAAATGAGGATGGGGAGAAAGTCCTAAGATTCTACTGGCTAGATGCATGGGAAGACAGGTTTCTGAAGCCAGGAATTGTATATATGTTTGGTAAGGTGTATGTTAATCCATCGGATAAAAAAGCAGGTTGCTTATCTTGCTGTGTGGTAGTGAAAAATGTTACCAGACAGATGTTTTTGTTGCCAAGAGAATATGTAAGTATACATTGTATCATTCATTTATCAATAGTATAAAATAAGGTCATGAACTGAATATTTAGGGTACAACTTTTTTCGTCCAACTTTAAACTGCACAATATTTCAAACATTATTAATGCTGTTTGTTTATTATTTTTACCAAATTTTTTTAAATCGCGAAATGTGTGATTACATAATGTAATGCGAATAATTATGATTACCCTTTAATAAGATTGTGCAAAGATAGATGTGTTTGAAGGATGCATTAAAATATATCATTGGCTACAGATATGTTTTATTTCCTACATTGACAATGAGGATAGGACATAGTTATTATTAATATTAAATTTTATAGAAATTAGATCCTGTAACACTTGAAAGTACAGATGAACAAGTCACCATGATGGATGTATACCAAGAGTTCAATGCCTCAGTTGCTAGTGAACTTGGCCTTAAGGAGTTCAAGTCTAGAAAAGTTACTAAAAATTATTGTTTTAATTTGCCTGACATACCTGCACAGTCTGATTACTTAGAAGTGAAGTATTCTGTAAGTATTTTGTTATGTAATTTTATTATTGGTATGTATTGGTCTTGATTGATGTTGGATGTTATCATATTATCTGCATCTACATGTGCAGGTATTATATGTGTGATTACATTAAGATAATGATGGAATTTCATATCCTCACTGTATTTATTTATATATTTTCATAAGAAAATCTAAATAAATTCTAATATTGGGTTTTGTTTAATTAATTTTAAAGACTAGTTTACAGTCTTTAAAATTAAACTGAAAATTATTGACTCTTTTAGGACTCTGGTCTATTGTTCACATAATGTTTTATATCACTTTTACTACCGTCCGGTTAGGCTTGATACTTCAGTTGAGCAGAACAGAGCTAATAGTTTTTTAGTTAGTTTGAATATTTGAATATTACACAGTATTTTAATATAGTACATGTATAATATTATACATCTCTAAACCATAGCTTTTTTTTATATCTAGACATAATTGAGTATTACAAAAATAAATTATTTAGCTTTTTAATGAAATAATACAAAATTTACAGGCAAGCATCCCTCCACCACCAACTGGCAAGAATTACTTAACTTTTTCTCACATATTTGGGACAAACACATCATCATTAGAAACATTCTTGTTAGAGAGAAAAATTAAAGGGCCTTGTTGGTTAGAAATTAAACAGCCAGAAAATGTTCAGGCCAAGGTGTCATGGTGCAAACTGGAAGCAACATGTAACATAGAACATGTCAATGTTATCAAGAACGAAACTAAATTGGAACCACCACCCATTGTTGTTGCTACTGTAAGTATACATACTCAACAGGTAATAATATTATTTCGTTAATAGAAAAAAATAAATATATTTTTGCAATAAAAATTGAAGATACTACAGTAATCTAAAATAAAAGCAGTCCTTGATTATAAGCTGGGAAAGGATGATTCCCAAGTTTCTTTGATTCTCAATGAATTCTAAATATATTTGACGGTTTCTTAATAACTAAATTACTAGCTTCTATGGTATTAGTCAAATAGTTTATATGTTCCCTACACAGATAGAGAATGGACACTGAATTATGTGATAAAGTACTCAGAATACACCATTTTATAAGAATTTAAGGTATTAATGTTAATTTGATAGCAAAATGAAATAAATTAATACTAATCTGGTAACAAATATATGCTGTGGTTTCGAAATACAAATTATATAAACATATATTTTTATACTGTTAACTGAATAAGTTTGCTATTCTGTTTTTAGATAAATGTGAGAACAACTATAGATCCAAAAACAAGGAAGACCAAAATCTTAATGTTAAGCTGCCTGATACACAACAATTTTCCAATAAATAAATCGCCACCAAATCCTCCTTTCCAACAACATTTCTGTGGTAAGACATTTACTGACTTGTGTAAATTCTCCATTTTATTATAATTGTAGTATAACTGCAACCAAAGTCAATTTCAAATTGTTTATGATGATATTTGTTAATATGATAATTGTACATATATCTATTATCTATGACAAGTAGTAATATTAATAATTACCCTGGATTCTTCACAAAACACCATACAGTCTGATGGTAAGCAGAGCCTGTGTTATGTACCTATAACACTGAAGAAAACTGGTAAGAATACTTCAAAACTTATTTTTATAAATAAACATAGAAGTAGTGATAGTCATAAATATAAACATGGGTCAGTCGTCTTGAGGGAAACCAGTACTGTGCTAAAAATTTAGCTATTTTTAGCACAGTACTGGTTTCCCTCAAGACGACTGACCCATGTTTATATTTATGACTATCATAAAAATCAGCTATGCTTCTTGTTAAGAATTGAGCCCCAGACCTTCGGAAGCAAAGTGGTGTGCTAAGCCCCACAAGATCACCGATGCCATCAGTAATGGATTTAGAATACAACATATCATCATATATATTTTTTTAGAAGATAAAATTTTGTTGTATCATCGGATTACAATTCTATTATTCATTTACATTTTTTTTTTCAGTTGTAACTAAATGTAATGAAATTTGGCCACTGGATATGAAACAGGCGTTCTTACAATATAAAGCCACTAAACTTACAAAATGCGATACAGAGAGAGAACTCCTTAATTACTTCATGGTACAGTTTTGGAAGTTAGATCCCGATTTGGTTGTAGGTCACGATTTACAAGGGTTTCAACAAGATTTGCTCATTGGAAATATCTTGGATCTTAATATACCTAACTGGTCCCGTTTGGGCAGATTAAAAAGATCAGTTCCACCATTAAGAAAATTTGCAGCAAAAGATGCATTTCTAGGGCGCCTAGTATGTGATATCAAAATTTCCGCTATGGAACTTATAAGGGCAAGAAGTTTTGATTTAGACACGCTATGTGTCAATGTATTGAAAATGAAGGAAGCCGATAGGCTTGACGTAGCTCTCGAAGACCTACCGCAATATTACGAAAATAGCAGAGAGCTGTTTCAGCTAGTTTCTTTGACCATGCAAGATGCTTCCTATATTCTCAAAATTATGTGTGAACTAAATGTCATACCATTGGCATTACAAATTACACAAATTGCAGGCAATGTTATGTCTCGGACTTTAATGGGTGGTAGATCTGAAAGGAATGAATTTCTACTACTGCATGCATTTACAGAGAAAAACTACATTGTACCTGATAAATTATATGGAAAGAAAGGGAGTAGTAATAATGAAGATATAAATGACAAAGAACAGACTGTGAGTAAAAAGCAAGGTAAAAAGAAGGCTGCATATTCAGGTGGTTTAGTATTAGATCCAAAAAAAGGTTTCTATGATCAACTCATACTACTCATGGACTTTAATTCTTTGTACCCGAGTATTATTCAAGAATATAATATTTGCTTCACTACAATAAAAAGGAAGAGTACTGCAACTTCTGATGAAGATATAGCCAACCTTGTTTTGCCTAATTCAAACAAAGAATTTGGAGTGCTCCCCACGCAAATTCGGAGACTAGTTGAAAGCAGAAGAGAGGTAAAGAAGTTAATGAAGTCACCTGACCTGCCCATGGAACAATACATGCAGTATAACATAAGACAAATGGCCCTCAAGTTGACCGCAAATTCTATGTATGGATGTCTAGGTTTTACACATTCGAGATTTTACGCTAAACCATTAGCAGCTTTGGTAACAATGAAAGGCAGAGAAATCCTATTGGATACCAAAGAAATAGTACAAAAACTAAATTACGATGTTGTGTATGGTGACACAGACAGTTTAATGATTAATACTAACTGCTCAGACTTTGATTACGTTTTTAAGATTGGTAATGATTTAAAGAGAGAAATCAATAAGAAATATAAACAAATTGAGCTTGATATAGATGGAGTATTTAGATATTTACTGCTTCTGAAGAAAAAGAAATATGCTGCAGTAGTTATTACAAAGAATAAGAATGGGGAATTTATATTAACACAAGAACATAAGGGTTTAGATATTGTACGTCGAGATTGGTCACAATTGGCCGCAGAAGCAGGAAAATTCATTTTGAGTCAAATACTTTCAGAGCAATCTGCAGACGAGAGGCTTGAAAATATACACATACATTTAAATAAGCTAAAAGAAGACCTTATCAATAAAAAGATGCCACTATCCGTTTTAACAATAACAAAACAACTCACAAAAAATCCTAATGAATATGCAGACAAAATTCCACAGCCTCATGTACAAGTTGCTCTCAGACTTAACAGTAAAAACAGTAGAAGGTTTAAAAAAGGAGATATTGTCCCCTACGTCATTTGTGATGATGGCACAGGTAAAGCTGCAACACAGAGAGCTTACCATATTGAAGAATTAAAGAACTCTGAGAACCTAAAAATCGACTATAATTATTACCTTGCACATCAGCTACATCCTGTGATATCGAGAATATGCGAACCCATCGACGGCATGGATCCGGCGCGAGTCGCCGACTGCCTAGGATTGGACCCTTCCGGCTATAAACAACTATTGAAAAGAGATGATGCGGAGACAGAATCATATGAAGTGCAAAATGAACAAGAAAAATATAGGTATTGCAAGGATTTCGTCTTTATGTGTGCTAATGAAAGTTGCAAGACAGAGAACAGAATTCGAGAGACACTTGTGAAATTAGACAAAGAGAGTGTCACATTCTTAGAACATTGCCAGAACGATGCTTGTTCAGTGAGACCATTGAACTATTTAGCAAGTATAGAAAACCAGCTTAGTTTGCAAATGCGTGAGTACCACGCACAATATTATAATGGCTGGCTTTCCTGCGAAGATCCCGCCTGCGGTCATCGCAGTACTCGCTTGCCGCAGACATTCATAGCCGGACACCCGCTATGCCGCGCCTGTGAGAAGGGTTTAATGTTCCGGGAGTACACAGAGAAAGATCTATACTTACAGATTAACTTCTTCATGTTTCTATTTGATCTAAGTAAAGTCAATGCAAGTAAGTACAAGTACACATTTGATATTGAATCATTATTTTAATCACAGTAATCTTTAGGGGACATTTTTAATAGTTGGTCTATTACAACATCTTCTATTATATTTATCTTATTTTGCATCAGAGTGTTCTGCTATCCAGCCCGTTCTACAATAGAGACATAAGAGTAGTGACACATTTTGCTCATATTCCTTTTAACTACTTTTTTTAAACACTACACAGTAGTACCTACCTGAAATGTAGGAACAGTGATAAACTTTGGACGTAAATGAGAGTCATAATTATCTGAATAAATTATTTTCGACATTAAACACCAATTTCTAAAGATGAATGTTTGTCGCTGCTTTATGCAATAACTACTGGACGGCTTGAAATGGAATATGATACACAATTAGATCATGTTATAGTTTGGCCCGTACTGACCAAACTATAACATGATCTAAATGACTGTACTATTTACATTTTTACTTTAATTAACACAGACAACTCCGCATGATATAGCGAATTCACCACAATTAAAAAGTATTTTGAAAAATATTTAAAAATAAAAGTATTTTGTAATCGTCACAATTCGTTTTATTAGTAACGTAACATTTCTTTTACAGAAACGCGACTGTCGCCACAGATAACATCTGCGTTCCAAGAGTTAAAGGAAATGGTGGAAGATTGGTTGGCGCAGTCAGCCTATTCTGTAATAAACCTCTCGAAATTGTTCAGATTCTTTACACTAGACCCTAAAGCTAATGACAAAGTAAAAACAGAAGAACTTGAAATCGACGTATTACCTGAGACTGAACGTATAGATGCACTATTAGAAATGGGATCCTATTAAGATATGTGTAGTTTACATTATCATGTTTCTTTGTAAAATTAACTATACTATATATAAATAAAAAAATATATTTATATATAAACTATGACATTTATTTTATTTCATAATAAATCTAAAATGTTGTTACAATAACTAGATTATTGAGTTTCTTAAAACACTACATAAACATATTTCACTTTATTATGTTACATATACCAAATTAATAGTATCCCCTGCCGCGGCCTCTCCTAGGGCCTCGACCGCCTCCTCTGCCTCTAAAGTTTTTCTGTTCACCAAACTGTTTGTCGTAATTATTTTGCATGTTATTAAAATTACCTCTAGGGAGCCCTTGATTGAAATCAGACTCTGAATCAAAGTTACCATATCCAGTGCCTCTCATTTGGGGCCCTCTATTATCTTGCATCATAGGATCTCTATTGCTTTGGAACATAGGACCTCTATTATCTTGCATCATAGGACCCCTATTACTTTGCATCGTTGGTCCTCTACTATCTTGCATCATAGATCCTCTATTATCTTGCATCATAGGTCCTCGATTATCTTGCATCATTGGACCTCTATTATCTTGTATCATAGGACCCCTATTACTTTGCATTGACGGTCCTCTATTATCTTGCATCATAGGTCCTCTGTTATCTTGCATTATAGGACCTCTTTTATCTTGCATTGTAGGTCCTCGATTGTCCTGCATCATAGAATCTCTATTATCTTGCATCATAGGACCTCTATTATCTTGCATCATAGGACCTCTGTTATCCATCACCATAGGACCTCTACTCTCCTGCGCCATAAGACCTCTACTCTCCTGCACCATAGGACCTCTACTCTCCTGTGTCATTGGTCCTCGATTATCTTGGAACAAGGGTCCTCTATTAATTTGACCCATAGGACCCCTATCTTGAATCGTAGAATCTCTGCCAACTTGCATGGACGCATTATTCCATGAATCATTCTGGGGTACATTTGTGGTAGAAGCATTCATAAAATTAAGTAATAAGCTTGGCAGCGGTTTCGCAACACTGTTTTGCGAAGGTGTCTCTGGATTGCTTGCAATAGATTCTAAAGATACTAAAGGTGGTTCAGGCAAGTCGCCAAATGACCTAGGTTGCTGACTACTAGCCACTACATCAGCAACTTGGGATGTAACCGCCGGTACCTGTGTAGTGGTTGATTGTATACTCGCCTGGACTAATGCTAAGAGATCCGTGGCAGAAGATATGTTCTTCGTAAGATCCACAACTGCGACTGGGGTGGTTGAAGGTTTCTCCTGAATTGGTTCTTTTGATTCCTCAATAGATTTTTTCACTATTTCCATCTCTTGACGTATTTGATCTTCCTTTACTTTTTGAGTCGCCGACTGAAATACCTGTGATACATACACGTATAATTTGTAGGTGAGATAAAATATTAGTCTGCCATATAAAGCAATAAAATAAATAGTTAAATATGGTTCAAATAAATATTAAGTGATAGTGGACAATGATTAACAAAGTTTTAGTTTCTTTTAGCATTTAAAGTGTATGAAATTATTAATATATTAATGTATATATTAATACTAACCCCTAATTTGAAATAATAATAAGGATCTATGTTCACAACCACGTTATTGTGTATTAATATTAGTTTAAGAATTTACAAATATTACAGTTCAAACTACCTCTTCAACTGTATAATCATCGTCATCACTCTCTATAGTGACGAGCTTGTCGTCGTTCTGTTTGTGTGTAACGCCCTCCACAGTATCGACGGCCGCGGCCGCGCTGACGTACTGCCGCAGTCTCTCCACGCGTTGTGGCTCCCGAGCTTCCAACTTCTTCAAGTAAGCTATGAGGCTGTGTTGTTCTTCCGCCGAGAGATCGTTAAAGTTTTTGAGCAGTGTTTCGAGATCAGAATCGGATAGACCATCCATAGCGTCTGGTACGTCCTCTTTCTCGGTCCTATATATGAAACGATTTGATTAATTACAGTAAATAATTTTCATTTAATGCACCTAAAAATTAAGAAATTTAATCAATTATTTTCTCGGCTTTTCTGTACTATAATATGCATTCTATGGCAGAACACTACAAGAAAATCCGTTGGTAATTTAAAGAATTTAAAAACAGCGGCAACGTCTTTGTTTATACCATGCAAAGTTAAATATAATTTATTCTACTGTATAATATATATTAATTTATTAGTTATAATATAACTAATATATATATACTTAAGTTCAATGTCCATTTAACTTACTTTTTATCATTCTCGTCGTATGCCGACTGTAACATTTGTAAAGCGGAAGCAGTTCCACTCTGCAAGGACGAGGAATATTTAGGTTTTGCAGATATATTTGTTTGTTCAAAGTTCTTATTGGATTCTCTCTTCTTCGCTTCAGCCATGCCTACTACAGCATCTACCAGTTGAGCCAGCTCTTCTGAGGAGACATCGGTTTTGCCCTGGGCAATGAGCGCGGCGGCCATCTGCTGAGCTATTTCTTCACGGTTCACTTCGCCAATACCGGCTACTGGAACTGCTTCAGGGGCTTTGACCTCAGGTTTTTTCTGGAAAGCAACAATTTTGATTTATATTTTATAAGATTATTAATTACATAATTTATCGGGTTCAAGTTTCTTAAACTTTTCATTTAGGCAGTCTGTATTCACACAAAACTTTTAGAAATGTAATTTTGAACAACATTTAATTAAAAGAGCAACCCGCCAGTTTTTTACTGATTTCTTGAGATGAGTCTGCGTTTGGAATGAGTGGTAGAATCAAAAAGATAAGATATGACTATTCAAAAGTGCTTATATTAAGTTTATTTAAATATGGGATTGGTATGTAAAGTAATGTATTAACTGAATTATTTATTGAAATCGAACACGAATGGCGAGAGAATGGATATAAGAGTGAAGTGATGGATGAGTAAAACAATTAAGACACGGTTTCTTAAGTTAATTTACAAGGATTATTTTTGACGAAATTAAATTCGTAACCCAAGGAAATATTATTTCGAAACTACAGGAATAAATATTATTTCTAATTCTCTTTGGCAAATGCATCAACAATTTCTATTATATTATTTTCCTTAATCTACACGAATAAATACATTTCTGTCCTTGGCAAATTCACCAGCGTGCCAAGGCCATAAGAAAATAAAAAAGGAGGGTTGCGGGCACCTGGTCCCGGCGCCGCGCGCGCTTGTCCGCGACGTGCAGCGTGGCGGCGGCGCGCACGATGGCCGCGCGGACCGCGCCGGCCGCAGCCGCCGCCACCAGGCCGGCCTGCGACGCGCCCTTCAGCTTCTCCTTCGCCGTCTCTATTAGCACCACGGCCGATTCGCGGTCCAGCAGATCCTCCGACGAGTTCGCCTTCTCCTGAATGATAATAATGCATAGCCTTTTATTCAGATGTAGCATTATTATTTTACACTATATCTAATATTTCTTGGTCGTTATCTTGTAACAATAATAATACCGCTGGACAATTTACATAATGTCATTTAGTGTTAAATTGCACATTGTCTATTACTTATCACAAGCTGTGCTTGTGATAAGTAATAGACAACTGATATAAATACATATATATGTATACTAGCTGTCCAGGCGAACGTTGTTTTGTCTTAAAATAAAAAAAAAATTAATGTTGGCAGATTCTCAGACCTATTCAGTACGCTCATAAAATTTTATGAGAATCGGTCAGGCCGTTTCGGAGGAGTATGGGAACGAAAACTGTGACACGAGAATTTTATATTATATATAAGATTGTAAATTACATTATATAGATGTAAAATACTCAGACCGATGCATAAAAATCATGAATACAAATGTTTCCATATTTTTCCCTGTTTCATAAAAACTAAAACGTGCAATAGATTAATTTTAATTGTATCGAATTAAGAAAATCATTCGAAATATTTAAAAAACAGCTTGTAGACTAAAATAAGTCTATTAAAGGTATTTTTAATAATGCTCTTCAAATTTGTCCATTTAGTATATAACTTACGATTAATTGTTTACCACACCTACTAGATTTTTCTACCAATAGATTGTAAATAAGTACGCAAATTATACGCACCTTTTCCATTTTGAGTGCATCGGTAAGTAAGTCGAGTATCTTGGGCCCGAGACTGCCGAGGTAGTCTTCGAGGGCGACAAGTAGCCGCAGCGTGGCGACCACGTTCTCGACGGGCCCGAGGTCGTGCCGCGCGCCGCCGGTGGCGACCGAGTGCGCCGAGTGCCGCGAGCGCGACCCCCGCGATATTTCGCTGCCGTCGCGAGAACGACGTCGCACCGACCGTACTTCAGAGACCGACCCCAGCGATTCTATATCGTTGTCTGAATTCCACGGCGATATACCGTCATCTCTGTGTGGAGATTAAAAAATATTTATTACCTACTTCTTATCCTAATACCTACCAACAATATAGTGCGAAAATTTACTTGTTTTATTAAAATGTTTTGGACGATGGCTTAATATACAGATTGTAAGGTTATGCAACTTTCAGTAAAGATCAGGCTGTTAAGAAACTTACAAGAAGAGGTCACTCATTCGTTACTAACGATTTAATACTAATAATAGCCGCTGTCAATAGCACATTGATGAATTCTATATGTCCTATGCTCCACCCTGCCATCTTATGGCCACCATCGTAGCTACACCCATAGAACGGTTACAAACGAATATGTACATACGGCCTGAGCTCGTCGTCGGACACGAGCACGGTCTGCATGGAGGGCGCGAGGTGTGGCCGCGCGGCGGGGCTGCGGTTCCTGAGCGGCTGCACGTCGTCTCGCCGCGACAGCGGGCTGCGGCTGCGGCGCGTCGACTCCAGTCGGATGTGCGTTCGCGCGGGGCTGCGCCCTCTGGAACTAACATTTTTTGTAATCATAGACACAACATGCCAACACTTGCTTACCTACTATTAGTTACGCAAGTGAAGCATGTAGCATGCTTCACTTGCACTCCCAATTATGCGACTAAAGTCTTCCCTTCGCCCCGGTAAACATATTATCACACTTACACTCCGCACAAAAGTGTCTCGAACGAAATTACGACCCATAAGTCAATTTAAAATAAGTAAATAAATAACCCTGGAAAATAAACACGACGTCATCTAATCCCACGTTAAGCAGAGCTTGTTTTATAGGTACTAGACAACTGATATAAATACTTAGATTTTCTTATTATAAATACATACCTACATAATATACTTAGAAAACATCCAGCCGATACCAACAATCATGCTCATGAATACAAATGTTTGCACCGTGCGAGAAATCGAACTCGTGATCATCGCAAATAAAGCGGTGCGCTAAACCACTAGACCGTCTAATTCAAAAGTGGACATACTGTTTGCGTTCATGTTCGGACTGCGGCTGTCGGGAGACGGGGCTGCGATTGCGGAGCGGCACCACCGCGTCGCGCCGTGACAGCGGGCTGCGGCTGCGGCGCGGCTCCGGCCGCATGTGCATCCGCGCGGGGCTCCGCCCTCTAAAATATTACATGCTGCTTACAGACACTACTCAAAACGATAATTATTCATTTATTTCGTCTATTATGCATACATTATGTTTACACATTATAGGTACATACAACTTGGCAATTATTTATCCAATAGACACTGTTTCCTAGTACATGATTTCTAATTTTCGACAGAAATTCCTTGTCACATAATAAAAAAAGAAGATTATATACTGTTCGTTTCTTGCATACCAGTGTTGAGAATTGTTAACTTTATCTTTCGGGATGTAAAGTATTTTTATACTGTACTACTACTGTACACTACTAAAAGTTTTACGCTTTTGTCAGGTGCTTAAACCTGTAACACTGCGACCTACATAGATCACCCCTTTTCAAAGTTCACTACCTAGACCCATCAGGGACAAAAATTGAAAGATATTCTTAGGAGCGATGGTTTTTATCGGATATATTTTATATTATTTATAGGACATACTTCGTTTATGCTTGAATGGGCTACGACCACATAGGATGTGGAGCACAGGCCTAAGTTTGGCATGTGTTTATTCAATTTGCAATGTCCAGTGACGACCCCAATTATGATACATGTATTGTTTTTACTCAATAGGAATAGTCTCTTGGAGTACTGATTCGAGTAGCCCGTTATTAGGCATTTCGATATACTAATGATAGTATATTCTGCCAGTGATTCAGTGCTGCCTGTTTAGTTATTATTTTAAGATGTCGCAGTTTAAGCAACGACGCACGCCACAGAAGGGTTCATGGCCCGGTTGGGCCATTTTTGCCCCTAATTTTGCTCTCTTATTTTGGATCCGTCTGTGAACCAAACTAGGTCTTGATCTGAATAAGTCGGTATATGGTTATTTCGCCATCGTCTCTTTCAGATATTGTAATATTGTACAAAGTTGAACAAATAGTTCTGTATGTATATACTAGTTTCATGTCGTAGTGAGTACTGACCTGTGGACGGGACTGCGGGCGTGCGGCGAGCGTCGCCGCTCCGGAGTCCGCCTCGGCGGCGGTCGACGTCCATCCGGGGATCTAAAACAATTCATTTCCATTGATCAATGTTCAGCCAACTAAGATAGTGTATTCTAAAGTCAGTTGTGGAATGATAGTATGGAATAGTGATACTTTTTTTATTCTGCCATTCATTTGGAAAGCTGTCCCAACGGCACACAAACGAGCATAAATTTTGCCTGTTTCTCTTTTAAACAAATGTAACTGTACATTTTGAAGTTAAAATATATGTGAATACAAACTAGCAAACAGTATGAATTTATTAGAAAATAAGGGTTGACGGTAGAAGGCTGAAAATTTAGGGTTGTATGTATTTTTAGAACTTGGAATTATTGGATTTTGAGAACACATATAAAATTTCATAAAAATCGGTTACGCCGTTTCTATGAAATATGGCAATTAACACTGTGAAAATATAATGTGTAAAGATAATTTTATATATTAGAAGAAAGCTGTACTCACCTAAGTTCTCGACGATAATCCGGCGTACGTCTTCTCGTCTCAGGCGACCTACGCCGAGGATCATAAGGCCTTGGGTCCGGCGATCTCCTTCTACGGTCTGGTGTCCTCCTTCTAGGAATCGGTGACTTTCTTCTAAATTCAGGTGACTTCCTTCTAGGATCAGGTGACTTTCTTCTAAGATCAGGCAACTTCCTTCTTAGATCGGGTGATTTCCCTCTGAAGTCTGGAGACCTCCTATTGTCTTGCAGCTTTTGAGACTCAGGGGACTTGCGTGAAAAGCCCGGCGGTGTCAAACACATTCTACGATATAACTCGTTTACTTGCAATTTAACCTCTTCATCATGCAACTCCTTCATACGATTCGTCCAGTACAATATCCATTCCGGTTTAAAATCATGTTTGGACGGGTCTTTGCCCTCTGAAATATATTTTTATAACACACAATTTAATTTTCGGAATTAAACAAAATAATATAAATACACAAAGTAATGAAATATACTTTCCCTAAAATAACACGTAATTTGACAAAATATATCACACTATTTAACGCAAATTAAAAATTAATTATTAAGACCCGACTCGAGTTGTGCAAATTCGAACAATTCCAAACAAAATAAAGCTTATACTATGGTTATTAAGACTATTGTTAGACACACCTAAATACAATTTCTTTTTTACTATTTTTTTTTACAAAAAATGGAGGCTTAATTATTATGTCGGTAGATCGTTATATTTAATATAGAAAACTTGTACAAGGTAGATACTTTGTAAATATTGTTTGCTTGTGAATGGTTTTGGACAACTAACCTGCCTGTATCTCCTTGTAGCGCTTGTTCCAGAATTTCTTCCATTCCTCAGGATAGAGTGGATGTTTCTCTGGGTTTTTCTCGTGGTACACAAGTATTTTCTTTGCGGATTCTTCAACTTTCTCACACATTTGCACCGTTATTTTTACTTTATGTTCATAATTAGATGGTCTTGGCTGAAAAATACAAAGTTTTAGGCAAATTAACTTCAGCTAATACTACTTACATCCGTAATAATATTATAAATTAAAAATGTGTCTATCTCTCTCTAATATTAATAATGTAATACCAAATAACAGACTATTTTTTATCTGAATGAAATAACGAATATATCTATATATTATACCATATATGCTAATAATTTGTTTGAAGTAATATGTTAGCCTTTTTTACACTTTCATAAGCGTCATTCATGAATGTCACTTATTTAGTGGATCTTGTGATGCCTTTTATAGCAGTGCATGGGTGATAGTATAATTATACACTTACCTTTTTCTCCCCACACGTGGGTGAAAACCCTCGCGAGTGGGACGGCCTGTCGCGGCGTCTATCTGGATACGGTTCGTAACGTTTCTTTTCGTAGACATCGTTATTGTCTCTGTATATATAAACATTATTTTAATAATAATATCTCAGTTGAATTCAAACGGCGTCATCTAGTCCCAAGTTAAGCAGAGCTTGTGTTATTGGTATTCGCCTACTGATATAAATATATATATATATATATGCGTACAAAACGATACAAACAATTATACTCATGAATATAAATGGTTGTACCCTGCGAGAAATCCAACCCGCGACCGTCGTAACTGTCAACAACTATTCTATTCTTAACAACATCGTAAGTTATATTAGACTCATCCCAATTATTTTATCATCGTAATTATTTACAATTATTATCCGATAAAAATGGATTAATGATCATCTTCACATTAAGGAAAGTAAAGCACTACTATACTATTACTATTACTTTTCTGTCATTCAATTCAATAAGACTTTTAGTCTATTCTGTTATGATAATGCATTGATTTAACACTAGAATTACATTATTATGAAATACTAGCTGTTCTCGCAACTTCGTCCAGGTGGAATTTAACTTTACTCTTCTAAAATGAAAGGTTTTTTTTGAAATAAAAGTAGCCTAAGTTACTCCTAATTTCATCAGCAGCCGGAACAAACAGACTGACAAAAATTGTAAAAAATGTTATTTTGGTGTATGTACCGTATTTATATTCATGTAGTAAAAAACCGTTATTACAATATTACAAATAGACACTCCAATTTTATTTATATGTAAAGATGACTGATATTTTTTTATAGCCCTTGATATACATATTTCTGTCTTGTTTCCTCCGGGGTTTCTATTAAAATGATGCTACATTTTAATACTAAGGATTTGTAGTAAAAGATCTGTATTATGAAAATGGTATATAACATGTATTGAGGTTAATTCTTTCATTCATAATTTAAGAGTCGTGCTCTTGTCGGTGGAGTTCTTGCCATTTTCCACAATTTTCCGTCAATCTTTTTAGTTGTTGATACGACACGACTGCATTTTCCTTGATCTGCTTGATATAGCTGTGTCTTGGTCTTCCCGTTCCTCCCTTATACCTTCATCGTGTCATATCAGGTGACCCATCGTTATTAACATATAAAAAAAATCACATGTACCTGCGAAAAGTCCGTTCTTCGTTCGGTGGACTGATGTCCGATAGCGAGAGATCGCTGTTACCTTGCTGTGTTGCCACCTTTCTTCCGCGCTGCACAAATATAATAACACACTAATAAATTTATTGCTAAGGATGGTGCCATGTCCAGATGGCCGAAATAATATCTTTGAATGGTTGGTTGTTTATTTAGTAATTGAAGCAAAGTACGAATATTTCAAAGGGTCAAAATAACGAAGCACAATGCTGCTGCCAGACGCAGACTTTCTCATTGTCTCATCTATGTCAATCAGGTAGCATGTTAGATTACTTGCCACTACAGAAATATCAATATTTGTCACTACAACATTACTCATCCTATCTTTGTAATATTACAGCACATATACTTCTCACATTCCTACTCTTCCTAATTTTTTAATCATGAATCCTGTGAAATCTTTTACCTCAATTATATTGAAGATTATATATTATAGAAATATGTCATAGATGTATACTTAAATCATATTAGTTCATTTTCTTTAGGCATATTTTATTTTTTCAACTATTCCAATCTATATTCTCCATACGATCAAGTCTATATTTAGCTTACTAGATATTTTATATATCTACTCACATAATTGGGTTTTGTCGGAGCTGCAACCACGGGCGGTGAAGGATCCCTCTTGTCAAAAACCCTGACAAATATCAAAAAATAAAAACATCCGTTATTTATCATAAAAGTATTCGTGTTAAAAACCGATTCACTATATCAATAATGTGTTCTAAACACGAAAGTATAAAATCAAGTAAAATCGGGTCCAAAAAACAAAGACTACAATAGAGAAAACAATTTCGAGTACGTTTATTCTGTAGCTTACATCTAACATTCCCATTTATTTTATATATAAACTAATTTATGTTAACTTTGATATAATGAGACACATTGCTGCGTATGAATAAATTACCAAGTAAATATTATATAATTCTCGTTTAGACCATTTTTAATCTATTTTACAAATAAGTTTAAAGTCACTTTCTGTACCAAGTCCAGGTAGTCCAGTAGCCCAGTGCCTACTATAAAATACTTAATACCTGACTTCACTTATTAACTAATTATATAAACGTAACGGTAGCATCACAGAAACTAATTTTGAAATTAACGATGAAAAAAATAGGTTACCTGTCATTTCTAGTTGATTCTGAAACAAAAAACAGTCTTATAAATGACTAATTAATGAACATTAAAACATAGTAATAAGCAATGCGGTATTGAACCACTTAGCTTGATGCGAGACTTCATTCCGCTTTGTGCGTTCTAACAATTATACTAAGGACTGTATTCTGGGCATTGTTCGACATGATGAGTACGGCTATCTTTTACCAGCACACCGCTCGCCATCGACAAGGAACTCATCCCCACACTCTAGAACCTAAGTGGCCTCGGACAGTGCGGTTTCAGAGGAGCTTCCTCCCGCGTATACTTAAATTGTGGAATGAACTACCTGCCGAGGTTTTCTCACGAGATCACAACATGGGGTTTTTTCTATATTATGGTTATATTAAGGTTTCTTAAGGTCGGCAATGTGCACGTAACATCTCTGATGTTTGAGGCGTAGATAGGCTATGGTAACCATTTGCCATCAGATGGGTTGTATGATTGTTTGATACCATAGTAGTAGTATAAAAAAAGATAAAATACAAACTTACGTCCTTGAGCAATTGAATGTATCAGATCAGTGTCTACCACCTCCTCAAATGTGCATCCAGGTTTCTCAGTGATGTGTTCTCCTTTAAATATCCATTGATGTATAAGGTCTCTAAAAATGTATATATTACAATTAATTAGTGGTTAATCATTTAACATTACATTAATGTGTGAAGCAAAAACTTTGTTCCTCTTTTTATTAACGGAGGAGTATGATGTTTCTTTCACTTATAATTGATATAGAGGACTCCTTGTACAGAATGCTAATATTTCTTATTAAATTATGCATAAAAATACATTAAATCAAGAAAAAGACAATTACACACACAACATGGTGTATTTGACACACACACACATAGAAGTATAGTCTTTGACATATTTTTTTTATTTACATTATACAAGAAAACTAAGAACAGGTAATAACAGAATACATCCCAACATTCTTATAAGGAGAGTGCAAAGTGAGAGTGTTACAAAACAACTTAAAAGAAATATGTTCTTCTGGCAAACAAAAATTTTTTTAGAAGCATTTAACTTGACAAAAGAAACATTCAGAGACATTGTCAACTGTCGAAACACGGTCGAGAAACGACGCTTACCATGGCCATATTTCACTGAGTATATTTAAATTCAACGTGACAGAAATGCAAGTTAGAGCATTAGAGCGTATGTAGCTTTATATGTAGCGATATTCCCATAATCGGAAAGTAAGTCAGAAATATAAGCTGACACACTTTTTTGTGATTGTTACATTCGAAATCATGTCTTTACGGCGTAAGATGACGTAGTAAATCACTTAGGTCATAACGTTGTGTGAATACGGTTAAATTGAAAAACAGGTACTTTTTAAATCAACAAAGAGTGAGTAAAGAGACAACAACTTACTTTTCTTTCTCGTACTCCTGCTTATCGATGTGGACAGGCTTCAATCTACCGTATTTGTCTTGGATACAGAGCGACAGCCGGTGGAGTATGACAGAGACAGCCTCGCGGTAGTCCGTCTGTCCGCGGAATCGCACCAGTAGCAAATGCGCTTTGGGGAAATGCAGCGACTGCACAAAACAATCATTCCATCAAAGATGTATCGGTATACATATATGTATATTGATACATCTCAAAAAACAAATGAAAAAAGATACAGTAACCACGACGTTCACCCTCTGGCTCCACTGAAAATCAGCGTTTGGGCATTACAACCCAGACACAAAGCTACCAATTTGGTCGCCGCTGTATTTCTTAAATAATTAATTATAAAACTAAGTTTATTATATTTTGAATATTATGTTTGCTTTATATGATTCTTTTAGTATGAGCCAAAATAAATATATATTTCTTTCTTTCTAAATGACCAACTTACGATGTAGTTGAACCGGTGACTGTAGCAGGTAAGATGGTTGACGATAGTTCGCGGGTGGCCCTGCTTGGAGCACAGTGTGCATATGTAGGACGGCTCATGGTGTACTTCCTCAGGGGGGTGCTCCACGAGGTACTCCACGCCCAACAACGGCACCCTGACCAAAAGTCACTATCAATTTAGTCGTAAGACCTAAAGTTATTTATCCTTACTAATATTATAATTGCGAAAGCACGCTAGACTCGCACGTGCACCCTAAGAAAGGACTTACGTTACTTTTTAATGCGAAAAAAGGGTTTGTAGCCGATACTACATTTTTTATATAAATTTATTACTTTTTATAATTTGACATATTTCACAATAGCAAAGAAACTATATGAAAGACTGAACGCAGGTTCAATTCTTAACAGGGTTGAAAGGGGAGATGGACGGTTGCTAAAAATTATCATCAGTTTTTAAAGCTCGAAGCTTGGAACCCATTTTTTTTACTTTTGATTAAATATAAATAAATATGACATTCAAAGTATGTAAAATTGTTACCCTAAACAAAACTGGTAAAATGAAACAGCGGATGAAAGTTTGTATGAATTGGATTTGATTGATGTATGGATGGATTGTTTGTTATTTTTGAAGTTAAAATGATGAAACTTTTTACTTAGGCTTTTTTTAGTTTGATTATTAAATATTTTTTCTTTATTTGATCAGGATCACTATAACACGCGGCCGATGTCGCGGGCACAGCTAGTTTTTAAATTTCTAATTACCAGACTTCAATAATCTAGCTGGAATAGCCGAGTTGAATTATCGGAGGCTGGATCAATGGAGAATCACCTCTCAAGAGATTTTACACAGTCAATAAATCAAATGTTAATAGTCTGGCGGACTGGCGTGTGATATAAAATATAAAAATAATGTAATTCTAATGTAACTAGAAAGGCCATCTTATTTAAACGGTATAGTCGTATGGTAAACAAGACAAACTAAACACCCAAACATAATATAGATACTATAATTGACCAACTTTTCCCATGAAACTCAATGGTAATACGCAAAAATATAACATAACTTTTTAATAATAATAATCGGGGATTGTTGCTCCTTGCCTATTGCTATGTCACTTTTCACTATCACTTATACAAACGATTTATGTGAATGATTATTACTATTTGACGGCCTCGGTGGTCCAATGTAATGTAATAATGGTTCGATTCCTAGCACAGTGCAATTTGTATTCATGAGTATGATTGTTAGTATTGGTCTGGGTGTTTTATACGTATATTAGTCTATTGCGTTATGGGTACTAGACGACTGGTCTAGTACCTATAACAGAATCTCGGCTTGTGACTAGATAGTGCGATTGCCCTATTCTGGCGTGCGTCTGTTATGCCTTCACGAATAAACCGCAGAAACAATTTTGATTTTTGTTATAAAGATAGATGTGACCTTGGAGTACTAATCCTGCGAGACGAAGTCGCTGGCACTTTATTAATTTTGAATATATGTATACTTACTTTATGGAATCAAGATTATCCTGTATATGACATTGCACGTTGCGGTACTTCTCGTATTTAATGTCTAAGTCGGACAATTTCCTGTTGTGGTAGTCTACTTCATCCGATAATTTCTGAATCACTTCTTCGCTCACTACAACAAGTATACATATACTTTAATATTACAGTGCTTATTTAGTATGCGTTGTTGCCTAGTAGTTAACTTACCCATTATTAGTTATTTATAAGTAACATATTATTTATAAGTTCTAAACATCATGCATTTAAAAAGTCTGCCTGTTTAATATGAAAATTAGTTATTACTACACTGGCATCTATTTATGGGTTCTATTGGTTGTTTTTTTTTTTTGATAATCTAGTTTTTGTTGGTCTTCCACTAAATACATACATATAATTAATTTAATACCCTAACTCCTATAGTAAATGAGTAATGTAGGTGACAGCCCTAAGGTAATATGATGTTGTTAGAAAGTAAGAGACAACTTAGCAAACAAAGCACTAAAAAACTCCAAAAGAAGCCATTATTCAGTATAGTAATGATAAACAAAATCTTCTTAGATTGAAAGGACCTGCAGTGATGATTATGTTGATGCTCTTATAAAAACAGATGATAACTTTTTTTTATGTAATTGTAATGGCACCAAGCTACCACCTATGATAAGTGGTAAGCTTCATCTATATACATAAACATTGCATAATGATGTGACACCCGCGACACCAATCCAGAAGACTGAGATGTCATGCTCGTTATAGTGTAATTTCACTGCCCTCACAATTATCACCCTCACAATTCAACCGAAACAAAGCTTACTGCTCTGCTCTGCAACTGAGGTACCCGTGCATGTGACTTAACAAACTGGTAGTGTTTGTTAATAATCACCTGCCTGAGTCAATACAACGATAACATAAGATTTCCAGATTCAGATAGTGTTTAGATAACTCATACTGTTTATTTATTAATAGCTTTTCAATCCCCCTCCGATCGATCACTCGTCCAATTCAAACGGGGATCAATATTACGACGGCCTGAGCCGAGGTTTGAACCCCTAGCCCTGCTAGGGATAGGGTCCTCCTGTCCCGGTCCCCTGCCCTCAGACTAGAGTCGTATCCGTCAGGCAGGAGTTGGTCTTCAGCCGCTCCATAAGTCCTTCCGCAGGTTTGGAGTGCCATCCGCACTCCCCCCTATAGTCCGGTGAAGCTGTAAAGGCCAGCTGCGGCCAACAGATTTAGAGTAGTCCGAAAAAAAAAGCTTTTCAATAAATAACCCATCATGAAACTGTACCTGCATGTTGCTTGCCAGTGCCATTCTCGTTTCGAACATAAGGATGCTCGGTAAATATGCTTAAAGGCCATGGCCTAGTTTGATTGATCAACTTATTTTTGTGTTTCTTTCCCGATAAATGAGTCTGAAATTTTTATATAAAATATTAATATAACATTAAAAAACCTGACAACTTTGAAAATGTATAATTAAATCATATCGAAATAGGTGTTGTATTAAACTCTTCAATAGGGAGTTATAGTACAATATATCACATTGTATTGCATTATTTTTGACAAATAATGCAATACAATATGATAGTTTGGGAATAGTATTAACATAAACTGTGAAATGGGGCAGTAATTTAAATAAATGTAATAGGTTAGATAGAGGTAAATATCAATGCTGATCATATTTTAAAGGTTGTTCCTATTGTAGACTACGAATAAAGACTGACACTGTCAGTTTTCCTCTCTCTCTGTCGTTCAATATAACAGTAAAGTGTTGTACTAGCTCAAGAAAAATAAATTTCTATCGATTAATTAGTAATTTGATTTGTCACAGGAGTATAACTAACGTGTAGTTATTGTAAAAAGAAATCACTCTTTCAAAAATACCAATGCCTACAGTTTTGAAGAAAGAAAAGTCTGCCCAATCCTTATTATATTTTTCTGTCTTCAACCTATTTAAACTCTAAGATAATTAACTTCTATCGGTAACAAATTTTAATTAATTTATAACATAGACAGTACCTGCAACACGGGCTCGCCGCTGCAGATGACGGCGCAAGGAAAACACAAATATATCCACTTGCCGGAGATATCGCGACCACGTCGTTGGACCATGCACTGCTTAGTTCCATTTTCTACTTCGATCTTCAAACTGTTGAGATGATCTTGAAACTCTTGCTCAGCCTGTAGAAAAAAGTGTAATATTAGGCAATAGTTTTTATTGTTATTATTTAAGAAAATTATACACATAAAAATATACAAAAACAAAGCCGTGGGTACAGTTGAAATGGTTAAATTCCTGTCTTATTCCGTCCACAAAAATAAAGTGGGATAATTCCATACAAATAAAACAGATCAAGTATTCTTTTTATTGATTTATTTATATATAATATATTTTAAAATAGGTTGTGTTTTGAAATATACTTACCAAACTGCGATACCAAGAAGATATTATAACTTAAACAATCAGACGGTCATGACTGATTATTCACTTATTATATTATTAATTTTCACAGACGAGTACATAGTCGGTATACTAAATAGTATACACGCAATTGTCTTGTTAAATTGTTTAGAATACTCCGATAGTTATTCCTAAACTTACTTAAGAAATCATAAGCAATTATATTCTGGTTGCATTGTTTTGCTTGCAATCGTTTTCATATAACATACTACTACATCACGCGTTTATTACCGTAATTTTGGAGATTAAAGAACTGTATGAAACTCGCCTTAAAACTCTTATTATATACATATTATAATAAAAGTTTATTTATTACTAGTGGCCTGCCTTATTCTATAACTTTGTAATTATGACAGTAGCGGAATATAAATGAAACAATATGAAACCGTTTAATAATTTGTAAGTTATGTATGCTATATTGATATAAATATCGTCATTAGTATATTATTCTAAAGAATAGAATAATTTCTTCAAACGGTGCAGTAGTTCAAGAGTTTACTTTCCTCATAACAAAATCAGGTCCGTTCTTTATTATTAGTATAAAGGGAATATTAATAACATAATTTAAATATACATATATCATTGTATTTGAACATTATTAACAAGACGATATTTGTTATCACTTCCGGTTTTTCGAGAGTAGTGGTGCACGAGATGGCGGCATATGAATGGTGACTATGACAAAAAGGGCATTATACGAGCAGCCCGGGAACGGAACGGGAGAGTTGTGATCGGGTTTCTAATATATAGATTAATCATTTAAACATATTTTCAAAGATGTTACAAACAATTATTACGAGCAGATAAATCTGTTTACCTGCTTTCTTGGCCGTTTTCTACGTAGACGGCACGCACTACTACCGAAAAACAATTTATAGGTAGGAGTCGGTAGGACCAAACACATTCACTGTAGCACTTTGACTTTTTGAAGCTTTGTCTAGTTTTAGACTCATCGTGTTTTAAGTACACCAACTTAACTCTAATTCCATGTCGTGTACATAATATGTATAACAATTTCAAACCGTCTTATCACTATTGAAATTTAATAATGATAAATTCAATGGTTCTGTATACAATATTTTAATCTTATGAAATTCCATCCAGGGATTCTATTAAGTATTCAGCTATGACAGTCTAGTTTTTAACTGTCTTTTACTGCTTTGATGAGTAATCTAATACCATACGACACAGCTCGTTTAATTCGACCTATGTACGAATTGCCGCAGCTGCCAACTATTTTACATACACCTAGGTGTTCCAAAGCCGGTAGAGATATGAGTATCACAATTATTCTAGACGACGACGTGATTCGTCATATTATAGTTCTGTTAAAGCAACTAACTTAGATAAGATTAGTTAGAACTGTGAGATAATGTAATGCTACATATAACATCAGGCAATTATGCTTGATTCACATCCCTGTCGCATAAAATATTACTTCGATGAACTTTGATATAGAATTAATGAATAAATCAATATAGTGCTTTTTCTGTAAGAGTATTTTAGAATATTTATTACAGTGAGGATATTTTTAGTAACGAGGACACTATAGTTAGCAATCTACCCTATCATTCGAAAATTCTTGTTGATTTCGTTACGTTGAGCTAACCGGTCAAACTTATTTTAGTTATATTGCATTTAACGGCCTCGGGAGTATTCGTTAACAAGCCTCTTTACTTCCGTGTGTGGCGGGTTCGATTCCTCGCACTCGTGTAATGTATCTTATAGATATAATATCCATATTACAGGCTCTGGTTAGCTTTGGACTAGATAGCTCTGTGTGAATTGTATATGGATATTATTATTATTATGACCTTACATGAGTTAAATTATAGTCGACAGCAATCTTTGTCAGTCAGTGAAGTGCTTTGAATAACGTAGGGTAGAGGGAATATAATGCTACATTTCCTATCTATTACGCTTAGTACTGAATACAAATTGTGCCCATAACTTCGTCCGCGTGGAATAGAGACCTTAGATAGTGGTTTTAATTATTTTACAAACTAGCTGTTCCCGCGACTTCGTCCGCGCGGAAATTACCTTCTATTTTTCTAAAATAAAAGTAGCTTATGTTACTCGTTATTACATCAGCTACCAACTAAAGAAAGTCCCGTTAATTTCAGAGATTAGCCGGAACAAACAGACAGACAAAAATTGTAAAAAAATGTTTTTTTGGTATATATACCGTATTTATATTCATATGCATGTAGTAAAAAACGGTTATTTCAATATTACAAACAGACACTCCTTAATTATATGTATAGATGTATAGACAAGGAACTTAAGTATAAATACCTTAAAATATTATTTGCAGTCTTCCACTGCAATGAGTTTATTAAATACTAGCTACCCCGCCCCGGCTTCGCACGTGTGTACATGTATTATATATATAAACCTTCCTATTGAATCACTCTATCTATTTAAAAAAACGTCCTCAAAGTCCGTTGCGTAATTTCAAAGATTTAAGCAAACATAGGAACAGACAGCGTCAGCGACTTTATGTTATACTATGTAATAATAATGATGATACACAACTCAAAAGATTATGACAACTACGTATTACGAAAATACACACGCACTGACAACAATGGTATTTTATGTATGATTAAACAATAAACAAAAATCTAGTTACTTTATTTAAATTGGGTTAAAAAAAAGAAAAATTGTACTGTGATTGTACGTAATTACAAAATATCTAAAAGGAATTACCGTTCTTAGGTCTATCTATCTAACAATAGTTTTTTTTACATCATTATTATTTGGGTACAACAAATAATAATAATGATGTAAAAACGTCTAACTAAATTCGTACGTAATCTACTTTTAACCATACTATAATAAACAAAACAATGACTCAAATAAAGAAAAAATATTTATTAATGTAATTCAAAAATATCAAACAAAAACTTTCATCGTTTTAGCTTCAAAAATGACGAAATTACACACAAACTTTCGTCCCCTATTTTATTATACTTCTGTAAGAGGTTTTTCTTTTATGGTATATTGATTTACATTTAATCAATAACCTAAAAATAAACTTCTAGATTCTCGCTTTAAAAACGGCGATACATTCATCTCCCTTTTCAACCCCTACTTTGCATTAAAAAGTAGCCAATGTCCTTTCTCAGGTTCTAGAATTTCTGTGTACCAAATTTCATTTAAATCGGTACACTCGGTCAGGCGTGAATACGACAAACAGACAGAGTTACATTTATATTCTTAATAAGAATAATTAATAAATTAAATGAAGCTAAAAATTCTTCTGCTATAAAATACATGCAATAAATAACTTAGTACACAACTATTTTGAGGAAATATTATTTATCTAAATGAAATATTCACATATTCTAATTTAAGTTTCATTTGGTAAAATAAGTAAAAAAAAAGAATGTATGATTGATCTTATAGGAAAATTAGTAATACTAGGATAAATTACAAGAGGTATACCTATAAGACAAGAATAGATATTAGAAAACTACACATAAAACTCGGGAATGCTAAATTAGCATTGTAACCGCAAGCACAGCGAACCTGATCCGTATCCGGTGTCCGCTATAGAAAATGATATATTTTCTTGGAGGGGTATATGAGCATAGGATTCTAGGGGAGAGAGCATCTTCTTTATTTTTACCCGCAATTTTATTAAAACCCGCTCTTAATCAACCTCAACAGTAGTGCCCCTGCGCAAATTCCCATAGAACGGAACCTACTTTTTTTCTACCAAGTCTTAAAAAAGTTATTACGTAAATACCTAAGAGAGTATAGTAATAATACTCGAAGACTTTGGAGTCTTTAAACAATACGTTCTCCAATCAAGCATTTTTCCGTTTTTTTTTAAGTTGTTTTCGGCATAATTATTATTTAACATAACCTTATTTCCAATTATGATCTTGTCGTTAAATTCTATAAAAAACATTTTCTTCACAGTATTTATTTATTACTTATTTAACTCCATTGTGTATTAATATATGATATTTTAAACTGTATTTACCTTGGTGCATTTATCATCTATTTCAGGTTTCTTGGCTACTTCAACAACAGAGTCCTGGTATCCTTCTGCACCTGGCGGACAGTCTGGAAGTTCCATCTTGTAACACTACACTTGATAGTTTATGATCATTAAACTGTCATAAACTATTTTTCACTAATAAGAAATTCTTCAGTTTTCAATCTTGAATCTTGCCCAACTGGAAATTAAATCATTGACTATCAATAAAGCATCCCAATATTAATTAAATATAGCTTATACATTGTATTACAAACAAATAGATACTTACTCAATGCTCGGTTACATGCTAGGAACATCTTTATCGATGCAATATGCTATGACAAATTTGGAATTCGCTATCACTCTAGCAATATTATTAAAGAGATTGTGCGATTATTTAACAGAAATTAGGGACATATGTTTACAATTAATAATAAACTAGCAATTAATTAATTAAAGCTTACATATGGACAACACTGTTCTCATGAACTTTTAATCTTTTGTATATTATTAAAAAACACTTGTGTGTATCAAGGAAAGAAAAAGTCTTAGCTCTGGATTGCATTTATTTACCTATACATATACAAGGTGTAGGTAACGCTCAGATAGAATAAAAACCCGATAATTTATCTAGATCTCATGGATAGATGACAAATTTCACCACTTCAGAATATGGAAATAATTAAAACTTTCCAGATTAAATCGACCATGTATTTACGCGGTCTGCAGTTCGGATGATAGGCTTTTACGTAACTGAAATTATAAAGAAACTGATGCCTCATCAGACTTCAGATTCAATTCTGACAGTGTACTGTACACTATCAGCAACATAAATGATCTTCTTGCATGAATCTTATGCATGCCATTCCTGAGGACTCTTTTGCCATGAGTCCTTACTCGGTAATATCTCTCTGCCTGCTATTTCTCATCCATGAAGCGCCTTTGCGAAGCAAGCTTCAATATATATTATATTCGAACCATTTGCCTCAACAAAAGTGTTCTGTTTTTCAATATTAGATGCTTTTACTGCGGTATTAAGTTGTAACATCGCAGGATAATTACGGTAGGAGAAAATTTTACACCTCAGCTATTCGCTTAAGTAACGAGGATATACGATTAGTCCGAATCGCGAGGATGCTAACGGTATAAAGTAGGAACGGCACCTCTTGTCCCAGTCAAGGTGTACAGTACGGTTTATGCTTCCCCATTTCGAGACTCGGATAAGACTTTTGTTTTCAGATACAAAGTATTCGCGCTTTAAGTCCATATTAGAAAGATGGATACGGACACTATTGTGTAGTGTACATCCTTCTATCAATCCATTGTTGTACGCCTACCAAAGGATTGACAAAATTGATGTAAAATAACACAGAATTGCATACAAAAATCAACCTCCCGAACACCGGTGTTAATGTCCAACAATTGGACAACAATTGGACTACATTGGACAACATTATAAATATATGAATATTGATACTACGACGATCTATCTATTGATATATTAAACTAGTTGTATGATGGTCTCTGTCACGGTACCAAAATTATGCTAAAAAAACAATCAGAATAATAAAGTAAATTATAGTGGTATAGATTACCTACACCTTAGGACTTGAAAATGTATATACTACGAGTATACAAATAAATTATTTTGCCAATAATCTGTTTCTTGGTCTAAGCGAGACAGTATCAAGTACAAGTAGTAGCAATCACTTTTATTTGTCCTAATATTTAAAACTTGCTGAATCCCAGTTTAGCTAGGTGAATTAAGATTTAGAATACATTCCATCTGTGCATGAAACTGTTATTATATAAAAAATGTTATTTTAGCATGATCGAGTAAGAAACATCCAAAAAACTTTACAAACATTCACATTTACAATAAGAACAATGCGAAAACTAGATTGTTCAAAAAATGTGCGATCCGCTGTGCTTAACTCTTCATGCAGAGATGGTGCATTGTAGTTATTAGTTTATATAGTTATTTAATTCGAGTTGTCTCATCTTCAATCTGGATACCAATTCTATGATTTCATTGCTTGAGGTCGTTGTTGACTGCAGACATCCAAGTTTATTATAGCCCTTTATTCTTACATATTTTTTTTTTACCTTTCACACTATACTTGTATGTTCTTGGTTGTCTGCTTGCTTCCAACCAAAGTAATCTTTGCCATTCTGTTCTGTCTTGAGGGTTTGTGGTCCATAGTTTCCCTGCTTTTCTAATTCATCTTCCCATCTTCTATTTGATCATCCTTTTTTCTTTGTCCTTCTCTTGGGTACCTAGTAGTTATTAACCTTTCCCCATTTATCCTTTTCACATAATGTGTGGCCAACCCAGGGCCATTTCTGATGTCTGGTTTTGACATTTATATCCTGTGTATTAGTTATATTTCTAATGGTTTGGTGGTTCATCTTTTCTATTTTTTTCTTTCCTGTCCGTTATGTCCTATCTGGAATACTGTGTCACTTATGAACAAAACTAAACTAAGCAGTGCATAAGGATTATAAGCATAATCCTTATGCATTTTGTGCACCCCAAGCAAAGTTTGTGTTGTTGTTGTGCTGTTGTGTGGATCCATCAGAAAGTAGCTAATAATGATTAGCAAAATGTTTATATCTTGTAGCACAATAACAATCATAAGGTTTTAATTATTTATAAACAATATGCTTTACTTAGTTAAATTTTAGGGCAGATATACTTCTAGTAATAAATAGGCATAGCATTTGTTGAGAAATAATATAAAAATCTCTTATTTTAAATTTAATTTCTCAATCATTCTAAATTCTAAACTTAAATTTTCAACAATAATCATACTTTCAGTTTGTATACTTGAGTTTTTTTTTATTTGAGATATATCTAACTATATTGCCTATAGACATGAACAACACCATGGCAATATTTAAAGTACCCATCATTGTCAAAATTATCATGGTTAAACCTAAATAGTGAAATTATTAGGCTATTAACCAGACAGAGATTTTTTAATGGTGCACCTGCTGTGTCATTATTAACACTGGCATCTGAGAGGATGAAAAGATAAGTATCAGATGAGGTCAGTTAGCCCATGATGCTAAATTGATCAATTTATAACAATAGTTTCCAGGGAGAATGGAGGTCAAAGTGACATGGTACATTGGAAACAATCAAGTTACTAGTCCACATTTTTAACAAGCCATTTTCTCCAGCAATGGGAAGTAGTGGCTTCACTACCAACAACATACAATGTCAGGCCAACTACCATGTGGTGGTACCACATGGTAGTTGGCCTGACTCTGGAAACAATAGTTATTAATCCCTCATTAATTTTGGCATAATATTTTGGAATAATTGATTTATTATCCTCTACTGCGGCCCTGATAGCATATACCACTAGTACAAGCGGGAACAATATTTATATTATTATTTATAAAAAAAACTTTTAACCATTGGATAAATTTGATATTTTCCCTAACAAGTATCCATACTGATGACAGTATTAAGTAAACAAACGAAACCTTTTTACTACTCTGCTGAATGTATAGTCAATAAATGGCAAGTACTTAGTACTGTACATTGTGTTGCATGGTGCTTTCCAGGTACTTGCATATTTGGAGCCAAAAATTTGTCCAAAAATTTGATTATTGTTGACTTTCAACTATTACACAAATAACGTCATAGACCAAGTTGTAACATTTTTCAAGCACTTTTAGCAACTTAATAGTAATTATATTGTGGAGCTTAAAATAACTATGGATTCTATTCTTATACACAACACATAAACAATATGGTGTGGATACTGACGAAAACAATATCTTAAATATTACATACTCACCGCCTTACCAAAACCCAGTAAATAACGCACTTTCGTACCACATTATCTTATAATGAAATCACTATTTACCGCGATAAATACACACTATTTTTATGCATAAATATAAAATCAATACATATTTAAGCAACTTGGACGAATATCAGCCGGTTGAAAGTAATTGTTAAAAAATACGCTTTATGATTTAAACTTGTAGTTCTTTATAGACCGAAAAGGAAGATGTGGCTAGAATTAAGTACATTATTATTACATTTACAAATACTATATAGAAGCTACTGACCTTTTTGAAGCTGACGCGACGTTTTTTCTAGAGATGCAAACGCATTTTGAATTGTAATTAGATTTAACACTGTTTGGATTGGACCATTATATGAGTTCAACAAATTAAACACGTGTTTATAAACACTGTGGTGACGTTTAAACAGGAATATACTTGTTAAATTCGTGATTTACTACTTGATACTCAATGCATGAATCCATTTTGATTTGGATGAGTAAATGACAGATTGAATGAAACAAAATTTCTCTTAATTTGTATTCGCTGTCAGTTCATCAGCTCTGTCAGTAAATAGGGTGGCAAGTGCCAAGTAGGTAGGTAGGAAGGGTTGCCAATTTTTATTACGACATATATTCCCTAATTAAATAATCTCTTTAAAAAGTTGTATGGGACAGCTGGGAATTATATAATGCACTTGTATTAACAAGTCTTGGATTACGTATGGATCGCAGTTTATTAATTATTTGGCCGGAGGCACGAAAGCGGAAGAGAGAGAAAAAATTGCCACTAATCAGAACTTTTAGGCCCAATTTTTTTTTAAATTTATAAGGTGTGGTGTACTCGCCTGCACTAACGGTATAAGTACGCTGCTGGTACACCAGTGGAAAATGATAGGATGACAATAAAATTAAGTCAGTCACCAGGAATTACCAAGGACGGTTTACAGGGGGGACCGCATGGAGATCAACCTGACATGACATTACTAGCATTGAGGCCATTCGTTACGAGTAGTTCTCATTAATGTCAATCCTCTCCCAATTTTTGGTCGCAATATGACCCTAATGAGGTCACAATAATACCTGGTTCACTTCCACGCAGTTCCCCGAAAACCATCGTAGTTAATTACTTGAATTCAATAGCCTTGAACAACGAGCGGGAATCATTACTCTGCCGTAACACAGTTTTTAATAGCACGGGACTCACTTTCCCTACTTTGGTAGTGTTCAAAAATTGTGTATTCCGTCGACAATACTCGTAGTTTGTATAAAAAATACCATTTTCATATATACCCATATTTTTTTAATAAATAATTAGGCTGACAAACTAACTTCATGCCTATCCTATCATTGTAATAATTAGATACCTAGTAGTAAATAATGCATTACTATATGATTGTCCTATTTAGTAATCGTTTGTATTTATTACAGCTATTAGGTAAAAGCCTATTCTATTGAAAAGGAAATATTTTGCTATCTTTACCAATGAAAAAAATCTCAAAAGGAAATTATACAATCGAATTTCTCAGTATTTTTACAATGTCCTCCTGTCCTGTCCTTACACCACAAACAATATTTTTTAACGAGGAGAGTAACGTAACGATTTCTCCTAAGAAATCTGGTTGGGTTTGACGGCAGTAATTCTATTCTATTATGCAGAACAAATATAGGTATGACTAGGCTCATTAAGGGAACCTAAAGTCAGGGATACTAAGTATATACCATATTGATAAACTTTCCCCAATGTTAGTAAAGAAAAATTGTGTTTTTTTTTAATTATAGTCAATTGTACCCTGCTACTATGGAAAGCATAAATCATTTTTTTATAAATAGAGCAGTGAGTTCTTGTCTATCCTGAAAAAGTTAAAGTAGACCATATTGCTAATAAATAATATAGCCTATCAACTGTCAAGACAAACTAAATGGGCTTCCTCTGGAAATCATCGTGGTTAATTCGTAATTAATTTGCCATAAATCGTAGATAATAATAATAATAATTTAGCTGATATAATCCTATTCTTGTCCTGTAGTGTATATTGATGCTCAGCCAGGGTATTGCGCTAGCGCAATATTTCTCTATGCCATAATTATTTACGAAAAATTCTAGTCGGCATGATTTTTATCCAAGACAAGATTCTACATAAATTCTCAACTAAAAAATTACTGCTAGTATCTTCAACTGGTGTCGGTAAGTATAAAGCTATGAATCACAATAGTACATTTGCAAATCTTTCGCACCAAACACAGAGGGCATTCACCGAAAACCCTCTTCTTAAATGTTAATTAAGCACGAAGATTAGCTTAAAGCATTCCCAGAGTTGTGGTCAGTCAGTGGAGCGCACTCAGAGCCGCGAACACAATGCGTGCAAACGGACGCGCGTCCATCACTAGGACGGCACTCTCATGCTTGTTCTGCCTTCATTTGTTTGTGACACAAACAACTGGCACCGACTATGGAATTCCTTTTGAAATAAAAAGTTGGGACTCTGGCCGATCGCCCCTAGCTCATATGGTGGATGTTACCAACGGATTTGGTTTAAAAGTGCTCGCGGAACATAACTTTTTAAATGACAACAACATTGCTTTCTCGCCCTATGGATTAATGGGTATCCTGGTTGCACTGTACGAAGGGGTGGATGGGGAGTCCTCTTATCAAATCCAACGAGGGATGCAGTTACCCTGGAACAGGAATGTTATGCGGATTGGATTTAGAGATATACACCGAACATTAAAAGTGAGTCGTATTTATTTACGTAGCTATATTTTGAAAAATAGATTTTTTCAATACGAGTATCGTACAAGCAACTACCGAACTATCTTAACATATAGGACATACATATTTTATATTTATTATAAGGAAATCTTAAGGAAACCTACTTGTGTGACTTTTATCAGAAAGTTAGTTTGTAAGGATTTTCGTAGCGAATCGATGATCCTTTTGATTATCCTTAACCGTTTATGCGTGGTAAACATAAAAATTAAGTAATTTAAGTAAACATTCAAATATTTTGACGATTATTGAAGTACATGTAGCTTATCTGTAGTCATTTTATAATAAATAGATTGGTATATTTCTCACCTTACCGGCTAATTATTCGATTGTTAAAAAAATGTTATGAGTAGATATCAATTTTGTTTAGAAGTGATAATAACAAAACTAGATACAAAATGGATTGATATAACATTACCAGCTAGGTGTGTCGAATGAGTTTCTGGGGGCAATGCAATAAAACCGATTGTTGTTTTTAGGTGATCTGTAACTAAAGTAGTTGAAAGAGTGCTAACTATGGACAGGAACTACAGTGTTTAGTAACTTTGGTTTATGAATATACTTGCTTTTACCGTTTACTCGCAATTTCGTCGTATAACTGCACTCGACGATTATATAAGCCATTGAGGCATCAAGAGGTCACAGAAAAGAAACATAATGTACCTTCATAACATTAGCTTTTGCCCGCGAGTTCATACACGTAGCTGAGATATTTTCTTTAGTTGGAATCACAGATATGATAATATTACATTATTGGAATTAACGGTTACCCTAATCCCCCATTACAAAAGTCGGTGTATGCAATATTAGGTACAACATGATTTGCTTAACCATTTAAATTTTAAGTGGTAGTGCTTTGTATTTATTCGCCATAAAGTAACGTAATAAAAGAACCGGCTCAAGAAAAAACTTACAATGAATACAACCGACCATACTTATTTGAGATTATTGCTTGACATAATTTTGAAATTATCTTTAAGCACTGTGAAATTACCAGTAAGTCCTTATACTATAGGTAATAATGTTAATAGACAGTGAGTTTATTTCTTTAATTGTGTTGTGGCTTCATGTATAAAGGTTTATATTCATGTAATTTTTTCCAGACTTACTTCATCCCTGAAGAGGGTTTCCTCGCAGGTTTAGCTCTTAACAATGAAAATGTCACTTTCAATGACAGCTATAAAAAGATACTACGATTCTATGGTTTTGATCTTGATAATGATCAATTACCTACCTTTGCTCCTGGGACCAATAATAGTACAAATGAAACAACTACAACTGCTTCACCATCGAGTTCTGAAGCACCTGCCACCACTGCAGGCACAACAGCTGCTGCTACGACGGAAAGTGCAGCAGCAGGTGCAGAAGCATCTACGGCACCAACTAGAGAAGAAACAACTACTAATCCTAATGCAGAAACTATAAACGATATCGACATCCGGGGACCAACGCCAACGACTACGAGCCCGGGTTCTGCATCTAATGCTGAGAGTACAACTAATTCTTTAGACGAATCGACTACACTTAGTAATACAGTGGAAGAAATAGCTTCACCTACATTAATAGCACAAACCGGTGCTACAGATACAACTATACAAACAACCACGACTGTGGCCACAACCACATCCAATGAGTTAATGACAAGTTCTACAACAGTTGAAGCATCCTCGACACTGATAGTTCCTGATACTTCATCTACGACGTTAATTAATTCTGAGTCAACAGTTTTTCAGCCCTCATCAACAGGTACAACAGTAGCACTAAATGATGCGTCTACTATGAACAATGAAGTAGATGCAATGACGACAAGAGAGGTAACAACGAGTACAACAGAAAATTCGCCAGAGACAACAGCAGCGACATCTACGATGACGACAAATAGTAATACAGAAACAGAAACTCAACAAGCTGAGCAAATGTCTACTTCGTCTGATATGAGTACAACTACTGAGTCAACAACAATCAATGATTCAACATTGGAAACTCTAGAACGCCGTAAGAAGTCGATTGTAGACTTCGTATTCACAAACCCACCATACGTTGATGATTACTTGGTATATAAATCTTACGATATAGGTCCCAATTCCGAATTGCCGTCTACAAATTTTGATGATAGTACAAATTTCTTAGCGAATGGATTAAAGAGTGTTCAGGTTGGTACATTTTTTAAACTTTGTGTTCCTTTTTTCACATTCAGGCATTATATACGGAATCGGTGGTCTAGAGGTTTACCACACAGCTTTACTTCCGATGTTTGTGGGTTCGATTCCACGTCTATGTCTATGTATAATATGTATGTATTTACAAAAAAAATATCTATGTATATGTATCAGTTATCTAGTACCCATAACACAAGCTCTAGCTAGCTTAACTTGGGTCTAGATGGCTCTGTGTGAATTATCCTAAGATTATTATTATTATTATATTATTATTTGTATTTATGACTATGATTTTTTATATTGGCCTTAGTGTTTCATTAATTTCTATGTATGTATGTATTTACAAAGAAATGTACCTAGGTGTTTCTATCAGTTGTCTAGTACCCATGACACAAACACTGCTTAGCTTGCGACTTTTTTTTTTGTTATGTGGTTGTATATTGGATCTCCTTTCAATACAGCGGTTGCGCTATCGGTGTACGCTTGCTAGTATTAGAAGTCAAATTAATAATTAAACTAGATGGCGCTGTGTAAATTGTCCAAAGTTATTATTATTAATATTATCATTATTTTTATGTCAAATTCATAGAAACAATTCAGGTCAACTTAATGTTGACCCGTACTGTTTTATATTTATTTTTAATGGATGATAATGGACTGATACACCAGCCTGCGTTTATGCTTGCGATGCACCACTACTGGATGATAAGGATGATGAGGTTAGGACAGTTAACCCATCGTGCCAAAACATTAATTATACTTCTATAACTGAAACAGGTGACATACATGCATTACGACACTATACTAGAGCACGCGTACCTGCCGCATTTAGAAGCTTCGGCATTGAGGCTGCCTCTAGACAGCGACAGATATTATTTACTGGTTGTGTTACCAACGCGTGGTGGCGTGCCGGAGCTGGGAAGGCTGCTTGCGAGGATGGCGCGGGAATCTGACCTCTCCGATGTCTACTCGGCACTACGCCCGCGGCGAGTTCGCGCCATCGTTCCCAGCTTTACGGTCAAAGGTCATGTCGCACTAACTACAGATTTGCAAAAGGTACTAATATTGTTTAGATTTGCAAATGTTATTGATTAAAATAAAATAATCACTGAATAGAGCTTTTGTATATTAGATATTAATTCTAGTGGGATTGCCTTAAATCTTACTCTTAAGGCACTAAAAATTATTAATAAAAAAATGAGTTAATATGTTCGACTCACAAATTGGCACATGTATGTCCAATACCGAATTTATTTATTTAAATAAACTTAAATTTAAGCATTTTTTAATAGTCCTACTTATTTTTTTATCTCCTGCTCATTAGGAAAGCTGTTTCATCACAAGAAGGAACAAGATACTTGCATGTTAATGTTAATAGTGATATCTCTTTTAAACAATTGTTATAACTTTACATTTTTAAGTTGAAATGTATGAATACGAACCTGTGTCGATACACAGGCATTATTTCATTAGAATCTATTCTAATTTAATTGAGAGTTTTCAAGCCGGTTTGTATTTGTGGAACAAAATCTTAAATCATTGTAGACCTACTTTAACTTACTATGAATACATTACCGATGTATAGATTTAAGTGGACTTGTAGAGCAAGTGTTCAGTTATGTATGTATAATATAAAAAATATACTAATAATAACTGATCCATGAGACCACCATCAAAATTAACATACTAATTATATATGCATATAGGTTAGCGTACCCACACATTATTTCTATTCTGATGTCGTAGCTATGTACTCTAACTACATATATGATACCACAATTATCTCAACACCATACATATTTTATATCTAGATACACAACAGGCAAAGAACAGAAGGTATCTTTTAGACATGACATTTTAGTTCATTGGAATGGCAACGCGTGAAAGATTTTACGGGTGTCACAAGGTCAATATAGTGCTGATCATGTATGTAGGTATATAGGCGACGGACATAGCTATCACTCAGATGAGCGGTTGGCGGTTGGCCTATTTGCTATTCCAATTACCTTAAAAAATAGAAGATTTATACCAAAACGGTAACAGATTACATCCATACAAATATTATAAATCCAGCTGTGTGTTTGTCACTTTTTTAGAACTAAACGGCTGCATAATTTTTACTAAAACTTGCCATGAAGATAGACTGTATTATTAGGCAATCTTTTATCATAAAAAAAAAATAAAAGGGCCGAAATAAAGGATGAAAGTTTGTGCAAACGATGTGCGTGTACCAGCTAGTAACAAATAAATAACTTAATCAAACAGATTTAGGCAGTGGGATTAATTTGTTTTGTTACATAATGTATTATTTACAACATTATGAAGCAAAACTAGTCACAATAACAGGTAACATGGGCGCTATTATTTTACAATGAATAGAGACGGAAGAAGCGATGACTTCACAGTGAAGCTTCTCATTTCGACAAAATTAGGTATTGGCAGATATTGATATGTCATTTCATTCCAAAGGATTTACACTCATGTTGGTGTCTTAACAAAATTTGATTTCATGATTACGGTAATGTGTAAAAATCTCAGTCTAATTATTTGTACTGGTTTAAACTTTAAACACTTATGTTTAATTTCAGTTGGGTATCCGTGACGTGTTCGAGCCTAGGCAGCGCGATTTTAACCCCATGACTAACCAAGCAGGGGTATATGTGCGAAGTATAGAACAGGCAGTCTCTGTTGCTATTCGAAAATACCAGCCTGACGACCAGAAAAAGAACAGTAAGTATATATATTAAATACTTTACTAATGCACATAGGAATACAGGGATTAGTTACTGCATCCCTGTAGATGCAGTAACTAAGGCGACTTAGTTCAGACTTGTCGTAAAAATTGTATCGAAACCCATAATGACGTATACGGATAATGGCATATTTTATGTATAACGTATGAAGGAAAAGGACCAATTTAAGTAGCCTGCTCTAATAAACAAATTCTGCGCCTGCTTCAGGGTGTGAAAATACTCAGATACACTTTTCAACCTGATAGTTTTTGGTTTATAACGAGTTTTAATGTTTGAGAATAATATTATGCCTCTGCTTGTAGGATGTCCATGAAGGCTGGTTAGTTAGCCCATCAAGGCGATTTTAACCATGTCTTCTAGAGCGCCAGCGTGGAGGTCGACTTGACTCAGATGTACCACATCAGATCGACCTCCATCCCTTATTTTTAACAATGGAGCCATTATTCTCCAACATAATCCCAATCCAATGAGATTAGGATTGTGTTGGTTTTCGATCACTTCCACAGTAATAAAACTCCCTAGTATTCGCTATCACCACTACTCCTCCTTCTTTGCAGTTGTTATACGGTAGCATGACACAAAGTATTAAGAAGTCATATACAATTACTTCTTAATATATTCTATTTAGTGAATATGCCAATGTAAATATAGATAAACATCAAATATTATTTGCTAAAGCAACAGAATATTTAACAGTATAAGATATGAATAACGATCATATTCTTTGTTAGCGGCCTCTCAGGCGTTGAAGCCCTGTTGTTCCGGTGCGATCCATTTAATTACATAGGTAACGGCCGCGGTCAGCCACCACGGGCGCGAATGTGTAGCGCGGCGCGGGGTCAGCCACAAGACCAGGCGGCAGGCCCAGGCGCTGGGTAACGCTTCTCGCCGTCATGGGCCGACGCACGCATCGCCGGAAAATCCTTGAGTGACATTGACGCGCTCCGAAAATTTACAAAATTGATTTTCCACAATTAATTCAATTGACCACCATGAAGGACAGACTGGCCAGGTGGATATAATTAGATTGAACACATATGTATCATCGCAAAAATTCATAGCAAAACACTAAGTTTCTGCGGTGCATTGAATGTATTATAGTTGTGAAATAACAATGCATGAGTCTGGTGTCCGCGAAAAAAATGTCTTGCTCTCGTTTTCCAGTGCAGGAACTAAGATAATTACTATCAAAAGTGCAAAACAGGTGTTAAGTGGTGTGCGCGAGCCCGCAGCGGCCATTGTTTCTGTGCATGCGGTGGCGCAACACGGCGACACGCGCATTTGCGTCCATTGATGCGCCGCGCCGCCGCACTGCTCTCTCGGCATTCGGCATACACCAACAATTAGGGAAATCGTTCGGTACATGTAGCTATTGACCGTAATTGACATTACTGCGACCTGAATGCCTAATCGCGAGATGAAAATTATGATTTGCAGATAGATACAGTTTCAATTACATAAATGAGTATAACTGGAAGAATTACCGAATAATTATTTCCTGTTGGTACAGTACAGTACGACTATTTTGTTTCAACGATTATGATAAGCATCGGATGCATTCAACCCTCAAGGACGATTATTATGAAACGTTCATACTCGCATGTCGCCGAATTATAGCTTTGAGTGAACACAACTACGAACGAGACTATATTATACTCCATAATTTTATGTAGGTACAAGCTGTAATCGTGAAGTTATGCCCAACTATTACTGATCAAAACACTTTAAACCGATATTGAAAGTACGTTAACTAATGAGTAAAATAACAGAATCTAGTTAAAAATTAATTTAAAAAATACCCAAAATTTTTATATGAACACTCCCTACATTTTCAAATTAGTAGAAAGATTTGTTTGCTTTTGTCATATAACCGTAATTAGTCGTAACTTCGAATAATCAAGTGTTCAGTAATTAACCAATGTAGTAACGAGTTACGAGTGGAGGGTACGCAATTAACTTACTGATTGACAACTTATATGGACATCATGTGCATAATTCGTTTATTAATGGCGATTTTTATTCGTTGGACTATAGGAAATTTCAGTTTGTATTTCGTAGTTAAAAACAGACCCATGGTCCCATGACCATGAGTCTGAACAACAGAATTAAAGATAGAGATGTAATTATGTAGCTCGTTGGTTAATTTAAAAGACCCTGTATATAACTACAAAAGACTTTAGATTTTCAAAAGCATAATGATTTTGAAGAATAGAATTAGAGAATAAAGATTCTCTTGTTCTCTTTCTCAGGTGATAACTGGACATATTGATTGCAATATGCTTATACTCGTTGGTTAATTTAAAAACCGTAATATATACTACTAAATCCTTTCGATTTTCAGAGGCATTCGTATTTACATTATTGAATTTTCTTCACAGGATACGTAAGTAACCACCAGCCGGTGCGATTCTCGGCTACATATCCCTTCCTCTACTTTGTGATGGATGCCAGCATACACGTCGCGCTCATGGCCGGCAAGATGGTCGATCCACTGAATACAAGGATATTATAGTTTATATTGAAATTAGTTTTATTTGAGAACCCCATTTCTTTCAGGACTAAGGTATTCATTATGATGCTGTCATTTTATCGTACTCAGGATTTTAAATTCTACATTTGTAATGGGATTTATTAAAAGATGGTCTATAATAAGGCTAGTATAATATTATATATAAAATTCTCGTGTCACAAATTTAATTACTATACTCCTCTGAAACGGCTTGACCGACTTTTATGAAATTTTATATGCATATTGAGTAGGTCTGAGTATCAGCTATCTATTTTTCATACACCTAAGTAATAAGGGTTGTCCACCCCTAACTTTATTTTTTGGGCAAATATTTATTTATTGCGTATTTAAAAATACATACAACCCTAAATTTTCACCCTTCTTTAACCAACCCCTATTTTTTTATAGCGTTATTAATTTATATGGCAAAACGTTTGCCGGGACAGCTTTGTCTTTTAGCTTTGTTTGTTTGTCTGTTACAGATCCTTTTAAATACTAAAAATTTAAAAGAATCTACCCTAATTTTATGTATTGTGAAATTTATGTTTGCTTTGTATTTTCATTTAACGAATCGTAATGCAATATAATGATATACCATATTTGTGATTAAGGTATGGCGGGAGTGACGTACCAAAACTGGACTAAAGATATTTTTTTATATTCTTTATTAATTTAGACAAAATTAATAAAGAGCATAAAAAAAATATCAGGGCGACGAACATACATTTGTTATCTCAAAAAATAGCAAACTGTCGCGGGTACTAGCAAGTTTGTATATATGTATCTAAAATAAAAGAAATAATTTGTTTTTACATTTATTTATACATTACACTTTTTACTTAGCCCTCTTGGATTTAATCTTTCTTAAGTAGAATTCCAACTCTTTTCCTTCAAGCACGTAGCCATCAGCGCGTCCACACTGACCCGGCCGACTGGCCACACACGCTGTAATAAAGTAACACATTAGTTATACATTCTCAATACACCTATCCTAATGAAAATGAGAAAATAATCAGAGTAACTATGACAAGTAGATCATACAACTGCTGGATTGCTTCCAAAACGGTCACATTCCATTTATGCAGTCTCAAAACTTCTCGATTTCATCACATGGAAGATACTGTTGTACTAATTAGCCGAAAACATCTTAACCTGATTCTACTGTTAGTTGTTCAAAGGTTTGCATAGTGCCAAGAAGAAAACCTGAGGCCAGGAATGTAAGATAGCCCTAAAGGTGTCAGCAAACAGTACAAAAGCAATTAGGCTCCAACATTTTATATAGGACATTCATAATATATTTTTTATTTTTAAATCTCAAACTAAATTACATACCTAACAAACGTCCAGTGTGGAATTGCTCCTCGAGGGCAGCTTCCACTTTAGAGAGGCGCTGCCTTGATACATATTTCTTTGCGGTCTTCTTGCTTCGCTTTTTGTTGATAATGGCGTCTTCTGCCTCAGTCTAAAATTAAAGTTAAAAATAATTAAGACACAACTAACTAGAATTACAATCAGATCTAAAATTGGTAAAATTAATACTTATTCAGTACAAGTTTCGAAATCACTGTTTCTTGGAATCATATGACACGCAAAAGAGTATATCATCACTGAAGTAAAATAATAAATCACAATAAACAGGGTATCATCAAAAATAGCTGAAAAATACACTCACACTGTTCTAAGGCAAGGCTCACAACACAAAACTACATTTAACATAGCAGCTATTTTACCCAACAGCAGTATGAAAAATTGAACCTGCAATATTTCTAACATTTCATGGTATCACCCTGACCAGTGTTATATTTCATATTGTTCCTATGTGTTTTGAATTACTTGATATAATAATAATGGATGTAATACAAATTAAAAAAAAATTGAATAATAAACAATATTAATATATTTTATGGTTATGGATTATAGTATAAATGTATTATACAATTAAGAAAAAAAGACATTAAAAAAACTCACCAACTTGGCACCCTTCTTTCTTCCAAGTGGCAGAAGGTAATGAGACTCATACCACTGCCTAAAAGGTGTTGCATCCACTACAACAATAGCATTCTTCACAAGGGTTTTAGTTCGCACCAACTCGTTGTTAGAAGCATTGTACACCACATCAATGATACGGGTCTTACGGGTGGAACCTGAAAGATGATCACAATAATATTTAAAAGAGTAGTGACTTTTATATTTTCTTTTCTCAAGGGAGGTCATATCCAGAACCAGTAAACCTAACTCATATTTTATGGTTTTACAGGAATACATGTTTTCTCAGTTTTTCTACATTTAAACATAATAACTCAGAACTTTCACTAAGATAATCTCTGATGTTTTAATGTATGTGTAGTGGTGATTGTATAATTTAAACCCATTAAATTGAAATAATTTATTGTAAAATAATAATGTTCTCATTCATTCAAGGGATACAATCTGCAAAAATAAATGATCATTTTCATGGTTTAAGACATTAGAAGTAGCTTTCATTGCTTACTACATTGAGAATTGAGTACGAGTGAGATAAGAATTTAGAAAAATTTTATTTATAAGAATTGTCTACAATTCTATCACTCTGTTAAAAAGTAGATGCCTTAAGAATCATATATTGTCATAATGACATTCTGAACAATTACTGGTAGTGAATGCTATAGGATTAAGTTCCTTTCTACCATATTTTATTAATAATGACAAACAACAATGAATAACATTTGTTCCCAGAAATTAACCAACACGTTTCAGTCTTTATTTACCAAAAACTTCTATTTTCATGGATGGTTTCGTTTATTGAAAATAATTGTATTCATACTTACACTCTGAGCCCCATGAAAAATTGCCAGCATCCAGACGAAGAGCGCGGTATTTGACATTGCCACCACGGGATCGTACTAAATGGATGCGTTGTGCGCCAAGCTAAAAGTAAATAGGAACCAAATGAAAACGTTGTACTTTTACATTGAACATGTGAATTTTTCAAACTAAATTAATCACAACAAACTTTTCGTCAAAAGACAATACTAGTAGCCGTTCACCATTTTATTAATTATAATAGTGGCTACAGTAAAAGAACGAATTATTATTTATGCATTATGTATTATTTTTAAGAGGTTAATTTTTAATAACCTTAGTATTGGCAGCCGGACGTCCTAATTCATACTTCCTCTTCTTGCGAATGGGCGCACGTTTGCCACCAGTGGCCCTTCGCTTATGCCAATGGTCACGACTAATACCTATAAAGAATCATCACCAGACATTATAAACCATTCCACAATAACACCGTGTACTATAAATTTGGTGTACTAACTGTTAAAGTAAAAAGTAATGAAATAAATACATATATAAAGCTAAAAAGGTATACTGAATTAAATACATTACAAAATATAGTAAAAAATTGAGAAGTAATATAGGATTTATATAGATTTTTGTAAGAAACATAAAAGATACTCACCCATCTTGGATCAGTGGAAAAAGAAAGATTGTTTTGAAAGACGGATTGACAGTTAACGCAACCAAGATAGACTGACGGTATATAGCCTATGAATAATAGTCCGTTTAGGACTTGGATACGAACGATTTTCAAACTGGCTTTTTAGTAAATTCCAATATCATGTACCAATATCGAAAGAAATTATATTTTCTTCGAAAGTTCTTATAATATATTGTTACCGGTAAGTAATCCTTCGAAGACATTAATTTTATGTTATCAAACGAAATGTAAAGGACCGCGTGGAAAGAGAGCCCTTTTATTTAAATTGACCACTGAAAAAGCACTCCACTTAAAAGTTAATCATAATTACTCGACTTAGAAAAATAGCAATTTTGCTTACAGCTAGCAAATGTAATATTTCGAAATACAGTTTTCAAGAAAAACACAGAGATACAAGAAGTCGACAAAAACAAAGGAATATTTAATAAGTACATAAAACTATTGTCAAAATTTGAAATAAGAAGTACAAAAAGAAAATATTGTTTGGAAACGTTTGAACTACGTTTGTATCTGTATAACTAACGTATATATATACTGGCTTCTCACGGCATTTATTTATTATATAGGTATATATTTATTAAAGTAGGTACATATTTATTCCTTATATGTAAGTTTCTTGAATATTTGTATATGACTTCCCACAAATAATTTTCTTATTACACGACTACGGTTTATTTCATTGTAATGCACAATAATATATTAATACGTGTAATGTAATATTAGAAACAATTAATTTACTTCCTTTTATGAACTACAAAAACTATGCTTAGTTTTTCAGAAAACTAGTGATTTCCAAGAATTTTTTTTTCTAATTTATTTGTTTAGAAACAAATAATATATTTTTTAAAGATGCTAAAACAATAATGTTATTCAATGAACTTAGTGATTACTGTCTCATAAAAAATAATTTTGATTGGTAGTCTGTGCAAGACATCAAGCTATACTGGTCTCTGTGATCTGTGTTATCCATCGCAGTTAGCACAGATCAGACAAATAGCGGCTAGCATCTCATTTTAGTTTGTGAATTAGTATTTTTTCAATAAACTTTCATAAAGCTTTTTAAAAATTATACAGTTATTCTCTAGTTTATTCGAACTATAATTGAATACCTCATCAAAATTTGTAATTTTTAGCCTAGCTACAAATGTCTACTGATTTTTATATAAGATACTACGTGGGACATAAAGGGAAATTTGGTCATGAATTTCTTGAATTTGAGTTCCGTCCCGATGGAAAGTTGCGGTATGCTAATAATTCTAACTATAAAAATGACACAATGATTCGAAAAGAAGCTTATGCACATCCCTGTGTCATGGAAGAGTTAAAAAGAATTATAATGGATTCAGAAATTATGCATGAAGATGACCGTCTGTGGCCACAGCCGGACCGTGTTGGGAGACAAGTAATGCGATTTATTACTCTTAGTTATAGTTACAGAAACGTTAAAAATATAAGTTATCTGTGTTATAGTGTATAAGTTATAAATAATTAATAAATTTGTTGATTTTGGGTACATACATATATGATGTTATACAAAAACATGGCCCTTACAAAATCTGCATACAAACCTTAGACGTATACCAGATCTGTCAGTCTGTTGTGTGAAGACATATATAGGATAGACACAAACTCGGTCTATTTATATTGTAATAGTTACGAAGGACATTGTTTGGTTTTTTAAAATAAACGTCCATTCTCATGATATAATTTATCATGTATTTCAGTGTGGCTATTTGATTTTGCTTATGATCTGAAAGCTGGTATCTACTTTGCCCTTAGGCTAAATATGGCTATTCAAAGAAGCAAGACTGCCAGTATCTTGGGTATACTGCCTCAATGTGCTGTGTTGGATTACAATGACTGTTTTTTGTGATTGTATATGTATTAATAACAAATTAAATGTAGATTTATCAAATTTTAGTAAAATCCATTATGCAGTTTAGTTGTGAAACATAATAAACAGATTTTTGTATTTGTTACTCCCAAAATGTAAATGTGATATTTGATAGTAGTAAAAAGAAAAAATAAAATGTATATTTTTCTTAAAACCAAGCTATACAGAAGAAAAATGTAATATTTAATATTATAAGTCTAAAATTACAATAACAGCAGTTTCAGGGTGTGTAATATCATGATTTAATTAAATGGATGTCTATCCCCAAATATGTGCAATTGTAAGAATTTGTAATTAATATATATATTAATCAGATTAATAATATTTATTAATCATATTAATAATATTTATAAATCAGATTCACATAGCTTGTGGAACTGAGTAGCTTATGAACAGTATGCTAAATTATTTTGGCTGTCTCCTAGTAATAATTGAACATTTTTTTATATAAAATAACAACTTTATTGAAATAACTTTTTTTTTCCAGGAATTGGAAATAGTAATTGGTGAAGAACATATTTCCTTCACAACTTCAAAGACTGGATCATTGGTGGATGTAAACCAGTCCCGTGATCCTGAGGGACTCCGCTGTTTTTACTATTTAGTTCAGGATCTTAAATGTCTTGTGTTCTCTTTAATTGGTCTTCACTTTAAGATTAAGCCTATATAATGTACTAAGTAAATAATAAAGTTTGATATCTCCTACTTCATCTTTTTCTCCTACCATTCAAGTTCATAATGGGGCAGAGAGAAATGACTGACAGACTCCCATAGATTTTCATAATGACCATACAAAATGATTATACAGTATGCAAATTTACCACAATAGGCTCACTGGCCCAACAGCATCCACTAAAGCCCCGCCAGTATGAACCATTAATGCAGGCAGGTGTAGTATTCTATTATAAAAATAGTGTCCTATATTATTGAGATTGTTTTACATTGTTAATAGAAATGAAAAATTAAATCATTTCATAATAGATCTCTCTATTTTCTTTTATTTATCATAAATCGCTAGGGCTAAGGCAAATAAAATTTAAGGGCCTGTTTTGAATTCAAATTAACAGCTTTTCACTAAATGCATATGAAAGTATATGTAGGGATATGGTACTTACACAAAAAAATACGAGTTTTTATTGTCTCTGTTTAATCTCTGACAAGTCTGGACTAATTTTGATGGTACTTTCAGTCTAGCTCATGTTATAAGTGCCTTGGGTTACTTCTATTTCAAGAATAAAACGTTACTACCACTCGAAGTCGTGGGCAATGCTGAGCATAACATAAATTTACATTCTCTGCAATTTTTTTATTACTCTAATGCTGTTGGCCGCAGCTGGCCTTTACAGCTTCACAGGACGATAGGGGGCGAGTGCAGATGGCACTCCAAACCCGCGGAAGGACTTATGTAGCGCCTGAAGGCAACTCCCGCCTGACGGATACGACTTTAGTCTGAGGGCACCACTAGGAATTCGACTTGGCTCAGGTCGTCGTAATATCGATCCCCGTTTGAATTGGACGGGGGATCGATCGGAGGGATTTTTCTATAGGTACTTGTATATATTTAATTTATTTTTAATGTGACTATAAGACAGTTATACAATTTAGCTTTTTAGGATAAGTAGCCCGTTAATTCATTTAAACATTACTGAAATAATACAAAGAGACGTATTGGTTTTTTACTCAATGAAACAAATAATTTATCTTTATTTTAGTTATTAAGTCCGCCGTGATGAGAGAAAGTTCTATGTAAATAAAAATATAAATTAATTATCATGAAAATATAATACAAAGACGGTATTGGTTTTTTACTCAATGAAACAAATAATTTATGTACCTCGATTTAGACACGCGGTAGCGTGACAAGCCGAGTTTCAAGTAAACTGGCAAGCAGCACCGTGTGTATATTTACACGAACCATTTGGAGCCACTTTTGACCCCCTCATAACTCAAAAACTCTTTCACACAAACCTGTCAAATTTGGTTCATATATATCAATCATACATATCATATATAAGACTTGCGAGATAAATATGTGTTCCAAATTTCATAAACATATCTGAAACGGTTATTTAGATATTAATGTCCAAAAATCGTCATTTTTATCACTGATCAACTATAGATCAAAATTATAACACACTTCTAGATGACCTAGGAAGTTCAAATTTGGCATGCAGATAGGCAATTAGGTGAATATAAAGGAAAAAACGATATTTTATAGAATAGTTTCAGAAGAAATGATATTTTATATTGTTATAAATACATTTCAGGACAGACCATTGAACTTGGCACCCATTTAGATTTCATCTCTTTTGTCGTAGAAGTCAACAATCAAGGCATATATCATAATATTGAACTCGGCTATCATTTCACATTTATGTTTTTGATGGGATAGTTTATAATACAGAACACTAATATCCTAATAACCTCAGGTAAAAAAACACCCACTACAACATACTACTTACAATGCAAGTAAATTTCTCTTTACAATTAAAATTGCAATGTACAAATAGTATTAAAAAAACCTATGATATATTAATTAAATTAAATGGGTAGTTATTTTGGTAATAAACTTTAGCAAGAGTCCACTCATACTCTGTTGCCAAAATAGGGCCAGAGACGAAATTTCTAAATGGTCACACTGTCATGTATTTATGTGTATAGTATAGTATAGCTTTGCGCGTTGCGCGCGCATAGCATCTGCCCAACCGACCGATTATGGCGGACAGACAGTGAATAATGTTTGCCGTCTTTTCTAAATCGGAGAATATCGACACTAGCCAATGGCATAAACCGGGTTTTTTGTAAAAATTGTACATTGTAAATAGTTCTATGTACATATAGTAATTATATTTGTGCTCGTTTTGTTTAGAAATTTGTGTGAATAGTGTATTATTTGAGTGTTTATTCAGTTTATTTTTCGACGCCGACAAATCTAAATTTCGAAGTTAGTACGTTAGAAGATATACATATTTACCTCAAAATAAAATAAACTTGTAAATTTTACTGGGTATAGAACATCAATCACTATTTAGACCTTTGTGTTTCCAACCGTCAAGGAGACCGATGCTGTTCTTGCATTATTTTGGTTTTCAATAGCGGCTGTCATCGTGTTTCGATAAAACTAGTAACTGTCATTATACAAAGACAAAAAGCCTGCTACAGTCCCTAAATGGCTTTGCTATTGAGATCTATTCATTTTAAATAGCCCATATGATCATGTGAATCGATTTTACATTACATTTGGCCGGAAATTATATTAGAAGTACCTAGTGTTAAACAACTACAAAGAGAACAAGTCATTATTTACCATTGCGAAGGATCGAAGTGTATTGGAGCTGAATGCTCGAACCTCACGGTAGTCCAATGAAGTGGCCGGGTTCGGGAGGTGAAGAAGAGGCGGGTGAAGCAGGGTTACAAAGCGCTCGTGCCTCTCAGGCTCGTAGTCAAGACGATGTCGCCGTGCATTATGTTTTCCAACGAGATTCCCAAGAGGAATTGCCGTCTTTAACTCCCAAACAACGCTGGGCAGTTGGTGACGATACTATTACGGAGGTTTGTTTACTGTTTGCTTAATATAACTATTGGTTATCTGTATTTATTATACCTGAGTTGTAGTAGTACTAACTAGTTGACTCATATAACCTAACATTTGTAAAAGAAGTATTATTCCTGTGAAGAATTCTTTAGTACATTTAATATAACCAAAACAATAAAATTTCATCTTAGGTTAGGTTATTTTTTTAATAGATATTTTGTTAATGTGTGTAAACAAAGTGTTGTTTTCATAATCTAATTTGACAGGTATTTATGTACAAACAAATATTTATTATTAAAATATGGAACCAAGGACTTTTATTAATATTATTATATAATATTTGACATAATGGAAAACAAACTAATTAATACTAATTATCTATAATAAATCTTTGATTGATTTTTCAAAATAAATATCATCTTAGGTCTTAACCTAAGATGATAATTATTGGAAAAGCATACTCACTAGTTTCACAACTATATTTTAATGTTAAGTGTTGAAAATAGTTATATTACTATTATTATTGTATAGATAAATTAGTAGATCATTAATGGAAATGGATTATTTATTTTAACAATAATATTAATTGAAAGTTTAACAGCCCAGTCTTATTTTTCTCTCAACAATTTAGTTTTATTTTCAATTATTATTCAAATTTCATTAAACATTTATACACAGTACTCACAAGAAGCATCCAGACCAATGTAGCCTGTCTGCATACTGGTATTAGTCATAAATATATAATGCTCTATCATTGGACTGTAAGAGAATGTGCGTAACTGACTGCGGCTCCCAAAGTCCACCTTTGAGCCATCTGATAATAGGTACACCATAGCCTATTGTGTATTTAGGATACTATTGACCTACTCTAATGTTTTGTTTTCTAATGTTTTCAGAACCAAGATAAATGGAAGAATACTACACCTATTACAATGAATAATATGCATCAGCAAGGTCAAGCAGTGCAAGTTAAAAATAATCAAACAAACCAACCACAATTCATCAACCAAGCTATCGCCTCATCTGTTGGCACATTGGCTATCAACCCTTCAGTAATTGGTAGCCATCCTGCTCATTTAACTACTAACATGGTACATACACAGATTGCTCCGATGCAGAATCACACAATGAGAAGCAATGCCATGATGTTACCACCTTTACAAGGTATACAGAATGCTCCCCAATGTGGTCAGCAAGGTTTATATGATATACACCAGCACCATGGCACTCCAATACCGACAATGAATGGTATTGGCAAGAGTGGTGAACATCTCATGTATTTGAGTCAAGCAGGGATGATTGCACCTGGAACTAATCAGTTTCTGCAACAAGGACAGAACCAACTTGGACTCACTCCTGTTGCTGCCATTACAAATCAGGTACATATTTTTTTTTTCTTTTAATATTCTTGGCAAGTCAAATGTCATTTAATCATATTCACATTGAACTTACACCGTCACTCCTACTCACATTAAAATTACTTTTAATATCTAGTATTTACAAAGTAATAATAACATCAACAATGTTATATCTTTGTCATTAAATAAATAATATTTACATAAACAAATTTAATATGCAGATTTTTTTATTACATTATGTATTTGCTACCGTGTTTTTTAAAGGAATTAAGAGGAAGAAGGGGTTTGTGTTTCAGAAATAAAATTTCTTCCAATAATGGTTAAAGAATTTAAATATAAGGCATATTCCTTTTAGATGGTCTTTTCCATATTGTTGTTATGATGCTTAATAATAATTTTTTTTTTATAGAAATGACTTATTTGTGTCATGAAGAAAATTAGGGAATATCCTCTAATTTTCTTCATTGCTTCATTCACCCACTGCTTTATATACATTATTTGAAAGCAGTGAGTACGTAAATATTTAGAATTCTCTACATAAAAAAATTACAATCAGTACAGTTAGATCAGTAAAAAGTTCCAACAAACAATGAAAAAATTATTCATAAAATATATACATGAAATTAAGAATTACCTCCAAACTAAATTACAGTCGGTATAATTAGATAAGTAAAAGTTCTATGGATAGTTGACAAAACTAATTTTTGGAATTATATTTATTATGACATAGTCTTCGGCTAAATGAAAAATCAATAAAAAATCTTTTTACATGTGGTAAGGAATGTCATCCAGTATAAATTACAACTGAAACTTGCTGTTTTATATTAACATTTCTCCTGTATTTGTATGTACCATATTATGAATCATAAAATTTAATCATGATAGCGCTCAATATATTCAGAAGTCTAATAGTAGTTGATAACAGTATAATCATCAGTTATAGCAATAATAATTAATAATAAATTGGACAATTCATACAGTACCATCTAGGCCCAAGCTAAGCAGAGCTTGTGTTGTGGGCACTAACCAATTGTAACACATACCAAAATGCTTTTTTTTAACATACATATTAAGTGAGGAAACGAATCTGCGATCATTGGAAGTAAAATAGTGTACTAAAAGGCAAGATTGCTAAGACTGTCAATTAATATATAATTAATCTATTTATACTCAGGATTTTGTTTTACCTATGATATATATATACAAGTTATGCATGAAATTAATGATGATCATGTTATTGACCAATTTTTGCTTCTGACGGTAAAGATGCAGTATGTGTACACATTCCAAATTTTATACAGTACACAGTATTTATATTATAATTTATAAATAAATGTTAGTTTGTAAAGATATATGCTCATAAGGTTTACGTAGTTATTTTTTTTAACTCATATTAATTATAAGACAGCTGATCTTTCAGCAGGTGGCAGGGTGCGCTGTTTTATTCTTTTTTATTGCATCTAGTAAAATCGAAACTGAAACGGTTCTGAAATCGAAACTGAAAGCTTTAGCTGATTAGGTAAATTTAAAGATTGTAGAGAACGAAATAAGTATCATATATAAGAACTATCTTTGTATGTGTATAATCAAAAGATTCTGTACGATCTGTATTACATCGTATAGATGAGTACTGTTTGGGTACCTTGTAAGTATATATACCAATTTATGTATATATTTACCCCTACATATTTTCTTTATTCACTAATTACTTCACATTACACTCCAAAAAGGTGTATCCAAGTTCCATACTCAGGCTCCGCAAGTTGTCGAATTCCTCCATGACTTATCTATATCTTATATATAAAATTGGAGTGTCTGTTTGTAATAAAATAACCGTTTTTACTACATGCATATGAATATAAATACGGTACATACACCAAAATAACATTTTTTTAAATTTTTGTCTGTTTGTTCCGGCTAATCTCTGAAATGGCAGGGCTGTTTTGACGGGACTTATTGGCAGGTAGCTGATGTAATAAGAATTAACTTAGGCTACTTTTATTTAAATAAATATTTTATTTTAGAAAAATAAAATAAAATTCCACGCGGACAAAATCGCGGGTACAGCTAGTTTAATATAAAACTTATATAAATTTTACAAAGAAATCATGTAATCTATTCACACCACCCTAAACCTCAAATATAGGTTAATAAACCTCGAATCAAGATATAATAATGATACAAGATATAAATATGAGACTACGGGGCCTGTTGATCGATAGTTGGGTACGCGATAACATCGAACTTGGTCTAAGAAACGGCATCCCACTAGACCTGACAACGTCACCCATCTTTTCAACTAGAAACAGCTTCCACAATTGTTAAATACTTAAAAGAAGTTATGTATCTCACACATATTCAAAGGTTACATAATATTATTCTGTCATTCTGTGAAAAGCAGTCTATCCATTAGCCAATATCTACGCACCCGTCAGATGATGTCACATCACAATTTCACATTTATACCAAAAATACTACAGAAAAGTTCACATGGACGAAAGCGTTCCCATGGTCCTGATGCCCGATACTATGGCGGAAAATTGGAATACTGGTTCTTAGCCTGATATAGATGTCCTGTGATATTGTCTACTGCAGTTTTTGTTACTGTTATCGTAATTTGGTACACTAATACGTATTGAAACTCTTATAATAGTCTTTTTCATAAGTGACGAAACGACTTTGAACGTTCTGATATAAGTAAACCATGTCTAATTTGATAAAGTTGACAAAACAAAAACACTTTTTGTATTTAAACTGTGATATTTGGAATAATAAAAATGCGTAATTTCTTAATGTAAAGTCAAGTCATTGACTTCAATTCAGAAATTTGTATTCACCCATTATCACTGTTTATCAGATTAGTAACACTGACTCCAAAGCACTCCAGAATGGGCAGTTTACTTATTCGATTTTGTCAAAAAGAAAGAGTGTGGAGTTTTCTAGAAGGGATGAAAGGTTGGAATACAAATCATTGAAAATCATGCAAAGCTACGAGGTTTTAAAACAGCGACAGTTCGTTCTGCTTTCTCTTTGTTTAGTTTTACTTTTCAAGGATGCTTCATCATCTATTCAAAAGTTTACTCTTGAGACCGTACCTTACAAACTCAGTTGGCTTTGTTAATTACATGATATCTAGTCGGACCTATTTTGAACGTCTTGTAGCTTAATAACTTGGAACTCAACTAAAGATAAAGAGTGTAGCTTAGTGATGATTATGCAATATCTAGTATGCTAACCAATAGCTAATGCCTTCGACTTAATAGAAGCTAAGTGACTATGTCACAATGGCTAATTTGCTAAGGAAAGGTAAATTCACGGTTCGCGGCTGAAGCGATCCCTTGAAGGCTTGATACTCTATTCTTAGTACTGTGCTGAAGGGGTTTTCCAAATCATGATTACATTCCATTATTTGTTTCTTATTTCTTACGTGAAGCGTCACTGTGAAGTATCATACAGTGAGAAACATGATTACACGTACGGACTTAAATTGTTATGTAATATGGATGCCAATTAGATGTCATATATAAATATATATTATTATTATAGAGATAAAATACATAAACAACAATTCCTGCAGCAAACTCAAGGCGTGTGTTGACGGAATCAGATATCTTTGAGTACAAGCCTTAACTTACTTTGTAATTGTAACTTGCTTTGTGATTTTATAAAGCTATACAACAAATTGGTAGGAGAGAGATTTGGGAGAGATGAAATGGCTACAGTAACACCGTAGCCTATGCATGCTTGAAATATCAGGTCTAACGTACGTGTGCCAACCTTCAAGAAAATTTTATAAACCCAAGCCACCCAAAATTTCTAGAGGAAATATTGGCAGGTAGTTATGCCACACAGGAGGAAACGCTTTTGAAAACGCACTATCTAAGACCACTTACGTTCCACGGGTATGATGTGTAAAAGGTGGCTGTAGGTCGTTATATATTTGATAGAATATACGAAGCGGTGCTAAGTTACTAAGTTATTCGATACCGCCTACCTGCGAGATCAAGATCATAGACAATTCCCAGCATGTCTCTGAACCGAGTCAAAAGAGCTGTGATAGTACTGCATATTTGTGCTTAAGTTCCATCTGTCTTAAACTCTAGTTACAAAATGCTGGTTACTAAAGATATTTATGAATAAATGTTTATCAGTAAAAATCTATTCTAATGTAATCTAACTATTTATCAAAACCTGTTTCCTTGAATCAATCATTCTGAAGAAATCTATTAAATTTGACAATAGTGCCATTGAGTTCAGTAAGTAGAGCTTGCGTTATGGGTACTAGACAACTGATATAAATATGTACATTCATAATATACATAGAAACCATCTAGATAGATACAAACAATTATACTAATGTTTATGATTGAACACAAATGTTTGGACCGTGCGAGGAATTTAATCCATGACCATCGGAAGGAAAGCGGTGTGCCTATACCGCTAGACAACCGAGGCCGTCGTATTTTTAGACATTTATTCAGTCTGTTTCCTTTTTCATAGGTTCTCCCGTAACTGACCAATGTTACGAGGTTTTCACCCTTAATTTAAACAATTAACGTTGGTCCTGTCTTACATTTTCAGGATGTTCTGTAAATTAATATTTCACGCCATCTGTCCAAATCCTCCATGAAACAAATATTGGCCATATCTCAGTGTGACCATATATTGAAATTTTTCGCTATTTTGGCCGAATTATCCGGTCATTTGAACCACTTTTATTTTTTAAACTGGCAATATTAAAATAGTAATAAAATATAATTTTGTGGCCAAAATAAATAATATAACTATTACGGATACTCAAGATTAAGTCTAACAACTATTATACAATCGTACTTGATATTGTTATTATATTAATTTTGTTTGTATGATATCTACGCATCTAAAGATATATAAATAGTCTAAGTTTACAGTATTTGAATTTTTTCCACACAGCAAAAATTATATATACCGCATCTTAAAATGTATTAGTCTGATAAACAGTGTCCAATTATATAGCACTTACAAGAAATCCCACCCAAAGCCGCGGTATAAGTCTCTGCTTGTAAAAGCGGCGTAATATCGAGACTCAAGTAGCATAACCACGTGAACTATCAAATTAAAATAATATGTACAAGTGTAAATAAAAAGTTTTAAAGTGCTGTAACATAATACGTATATATAAAATCTAGACCTGATTAAACAAAAATTTAAAAGACGCTAACACGGCCTAAAAATTTTAGCAATTATTTTGCTACACATGTATTGTATTATTGAACAGGTACATGCGAAAATAAATTGTTACTGTGGCTACCATAAAATATAAATATCTGAAAATACCACAGGAGGTAACCAGTTCAAAAATAAATAACAGTAGATTTTTTTTATTATTCAACATCAAACATTAAAACTTGTACAGTTAATTAGAAATTTAAAAAGTTCAAGCAAGTTCTGTAATAATGAGTTATTAGAACTTACTATCATATATCTAATAAAGCTTTTAAATGAACCAGCCACATTTTGTTATAAATTATAATGTAAACATAAATTTACAACATATGTATTCTAACTATTCTAGCAATTGCTAGGACTTGGTATATTTTGGGCCAAATTAGAGCAGGATCTCTTTTTTCAAGATGGCCACACCGGTACCTGAGCGACGCTCCCGTCCCGTATGTATGTATGTATCCGAATGAGGGTTAGCGCAGGCGCTGTGGTCGGCGTACGTCCTTTGTTCGTAACAAGTCAACATTGTATCGTTTGAGTTTCGATCTTTCTTGTTTAATTCGCCGCTTTACAATATTTTGTTGTAAGAAATGTGATTTATTATTGCTGTGTTTAGTGATATATCAAAACATTGAAGTGTTCGATGTGAAAAGTTTAGTTTTATCACAATAAACTTCTGTATGTACATGACCGAGCTTTAGGTGGGATTGTACGCATGAAACCCTTGAGTGAATTTTTTTTCGAAACTGATGTTAAGGATATGGGCCCCGACATGGTGAGTTAAATAGTAATATCTTAAAAAACAAGCAACCGAAATACTAATTTAAGTCATAAAGTGATGAAATTCTCGCTTTTTCTAAGCAACAGGTCCGTTTTTGTTTTGTTTACTTGTCACCGGCGTCCGCCATTTCTGGTTCGGAATTTGTTCACCGGTTGTAGGTGTATGTATTCGATTAAACAAAAACCAATAGAGAACTCTCAAACTTGATATATTAGGCGGATTCTTATATATAACAATCTTAAATATATTTAACATCACATTATTTTGTGTTAATGTTAGTGTTTGTGTTGTTAAAACTATAGTTGTGGTCATACTGTCGATTAATCGTCCCACTGAACAAGCATCAATGAACTGTTGATGATATTTCTTAGTTTTTTTTTTTGTTGATGCTTCCTTCATGTAAAGTGAATCATTATTTTAATATACATTAAAGATCTTAACAGTCTGTCAGTCTTATTTATAATCCACATTTTCTTAAATAAATATTTATCAACAGTTCTTATTTATGTCTAAGGTAGTTTAACTGTAACACAGAACTAGAATGAGACATAAAGAATTCATAATAAAAAATAAGCACATTTAATTTATAAATGATGTCAATGTCACATTACCACAGATGATACAATAAAATAACTGAGTTTATCTAAAGTAAAAGCAAGGTACCTGTTAACTGTTGTACATACAGGATAATGTACTACAGTATGGAGTGTAATGTAAATCCTTGAGGCCTGTTTTAAATTTAATATTTATAGGTAGGACTTAAATAATTATTATTGAATAATTATAAATTCTAACTGGATCAAATATTTGTATATAATATTGATTCTCTCTGCTCATAAGGAATCTGGCATAAAGATCCAGTTGCATACAAAGCAAAGCAGCACTACAAGTATTAATTTCTGATACTTTTTATACTAAAGTTGTTGTTATCAAGCACCCTGCATGTATAATTTATACAGAAAATACTGAACCAGTATAATCAGTCCTACAAATATTTCTAATATGTAGAGATCAAACCAGTAGATATTGGAATGTGAGGTAGTGGTTAGATAGCTTTACCACTAAGGTTATCAAAAGGTACTAAGTTCATTTAAAACTGAAAATTATTAATAGGATAGGATATTTTTCAAAAATCTCTATCAGTATCAATTAAACTTAATATTCTATTATGGAACAATAAAGTTCGACTAACATTTAAATAAAAAAAACAAGTTCTCATACAAGCCACTGTCACTTTAAATATTGATTTTAAATTAAACTTTATTATGTTTTTTTTTTGTAAAAGTTGTATTTTGATCTGGTTGTCTCTGTTTTCTTAAATTTGTTGTGTTATGTTTGTCTAAAATTGTTTTGCACTATAAATTTTGAATGAGAATTTTATGATATGAATCATATCTATATTATTTTTATTATGACACATGCTGTCTTTCTGCATTATATATACTCCCCAAAGGAGTTATATTGTATTTTTTTACATTGTTGATACTTAGTACATTAAGAAGTTTTAAACTTCTACTTTATAAAATTAATTGCATTTGAATTTTTTGAGTATTTTTTATGGTATCTGTGATGACCTATATTTTGTCCTCCAGATTGCACCTGCTGCAAAGAAATTATGGGATAAAGGCCCTGGAGCAGGTGGGGACAGTAAGGGTCCACCGCACCTTCCTCCACTGCAACTAAATCCTGAACAAATGTGGCGTGATCCAACCTGGTCTGCTCAAGGTATGAAATATAGTATCTATATATAGAACTTATATATCATTTATATTGATTTTATTTTGTTTTTTAATACTGGTGATTGGCAATCTGCTTTTATTCAGTGACTACTTTGTAAATATATATTATAGAAATGTAAAAAGGTTTTTAGTTTTCATATTTTAAGTGTGAATTTATTTAATTTGTTGTATTTTAAATAAAAACAGTGGTTCTACTTAAAGAACAGTAAACATTAATAACAATCCATACACTTCCTTTTAGCTGTGGAACACAATGTTGGAGTACCTATGATGAACACACGTCGTGGTGTGACGTTCCCAGGGGGTGATGCTGGCTGCATTTTGTCTCCTCGCGACGCCGCTGGTTTGGGGGTGAAGATGGTTGAATATGTACTTGGTGGATCTCCAACAGGTAAGTTATTATTACAGGACATTTTATTACTAAAATATTCTTTTTAATGTGTTGGACCATGTGATTGATTTGGGAATTCATTTAAATACTAAAATAGAAATACAATTTCAATCATTGTGTTTAATTACACACAAAAAAAATTATTAATTTTTTTTCTATATTATTTATATTGCATATCCAAACGGGAGATTAATTTCGTTATATGAAAGGATATTTCCAATATAATAATTAAAATAAAAATTAAATTGTTTTTCGTATCTTTGATATTATGTTCTTTTTTATGCATACACAGAGGCCGGCGGTGTCGCAACTGGCGGTGGTGGTGAAAAAGTGGCCGGCGTTGTCGCTGGGTTGCGCGGTATGGTTTTAGAGGAACGCCCTGAAGACAAATCCGCCTCACCATTTGAGAAAGATCTACATGAACTACATGAGCATGGCTCTTTGCCCAATGGGCTTCACAATGGACAAGAAGATGACAAAGCTTTTAAGTAAGTATTAATTTAATTTTAGCATAATATCTCGAAAAACAATATGTTGATTATAATTTTAGTGAATATAAGCAAAATAATAAAGTATTAATGTATTATGTTATATTAGATATTTTACAAAGATACAGATATAATGTTTGTGTAAAATTACAATATTCTACTACTTTATAGTCAGTATGTCATAATCATTAAAATTTGATTTAAAAACATAAAATAATTAATCTTTATTAAATAATACTTAGAACTTCTATGGAATAGTCAAATTATTATTTATTCAACCACTTATTAAAATATTGTGGAAGATGTTTAAAGTATAACTATTAAATACTTACAATTATGTCTATATGGATAAACTTCTTAAACTTGTTTATAAATAAATAAAAATACGTATATAATAATACACAAAAAAAACACCCAAATCGATGCAATCACTCACGAATACAAATGTTCGTACCGCGCGAGTCGAACCCGCGACCATCGGAAGTAAAGCGGTAAGCTAAATCGCTAGACCACCGAGCCCGTCATATAGAATGATATAGATATTAAAAAAGCGCCTCGAAGGTCGGCCGGCGAGCGTGATGCCGTGATGCTAAAGCAGTTTGCGGGTCGTGCGGGCAATAACCGCACGGCGCAGATCATGGCCTCTGTCAATGCCACACCACTCGCCCGCCCGCCGCCGCTCCAACGCACCACACACGCAATCTTTTATCATCTTATCGTTGTTATGACATTATTCTATTTATTCGATGACTTCTTATATTTTCGCCGTTGTTTATCTTACTATGATAATTGATGAGTTATCAATTTTATATTCTTTCTGTATTAAATAATGCATTAGATAAGACCAATTCGTTATGATTCTTACGTTATCTAATGGGTTTGTATTTTTTTTAGTTTGTTGAAAGTAATTTAATCCGTCAGGTTATGTCAATATTAGTATAATTACGTTTTGCTGTAATCCCCAGCATAAAGAAATGTAATACATTTAGACTTTTTTTAATTATTACAATAATAATAACAGAAATGGCCAAAAGGTAACAATAAAAAAACATATCCTAAAGAAGAAAACGCCATGTATTACATTTGTACATAAATGATAGGTTTCATATTCTGATATATATTATACATATATATTATACACACTTATAATTTTAATAGGTGTTTTAACTGTACCTGTGCAATTCAGAATATACGAGTTAAGTGTATTACTAGTTTATATATATACACATGTTGATTTCTGGTCATAAAGATTAATATTTTAAAAATATATACCGATAGATCCGAATATTTTTTTTTAATTTCATTTTTCTTTAGGACTGATACCATAGAAAGTAGCTGACAAAAAATTCCGGTTAAATACAATGCACATGATATATTATAGATACTTAACCGATGAGTGCCATTGCACATGTTAGTCCAACAGTAATGTATAAGTCTGAGAAACAGAATAAACTATTTCAGTTTTTTGTACCGGGCTTGTATTTATGCGCATGAGCAGCGTCCACAAGCTATAAGTCTTGTGTATATAATAAGTCTCTTACTGTTTGTTAAGATGAAGTAATAATAATAACTCACGATAATTCACACAACGCAGTCTCACGCTAAGCAGAGCTTGTTTTATGGGTACCCGACAACTGATACAAATATGTAGATGTACCATAAAATACAAAAAAATATCCAGACCTATGCAATCATACTCATGAACATAAATTTTGTTACCGTGCGAGGAATCGAAGCGCACGTAAGGCTAAGATAATTCGTAATTTAGAAATAGAAAAAATGACGACAAAACAATGGTTTGATCTTCAGCCGCACCCCCGGGTCGCGGCAGCCGTCGCCGGCGGAGGAGGAGGGCGGCGTGGGCGGCGTGGGGGGTGTGGGGGGCGCGGCGGGGAGCACGGCCGCGGTCCGCAACGGAGACGCGGCCGCCTTCCCCCTGCTGCCGCCGCACGCGCTGCCGCAGCCGCAGCCGCAGCCGCTGCACCACCTGCAACACATCTCGCATCCACAGGTCGGTCACACATATACATAAACTAGCTGTACACGCGACTTCGAACGCGTAAAACAGTTACCTTGATCTAACCCGATAAAATTCAAATAAAAATGTTTCATCGTTCTAGCTTAAAAAATGATGATTTTTCCCTTTTTGGTAGCCTATGTACTTTTACGCGGTCTAGAAATAGAAATAATCTTTATTCAAATAAACTCATTACAAGCACTTTTGAATAGTCAAATTTTGATTCTACTACTCATTCGAAATGCAGATTTATCACAAGAAGAATGAGCAATAAACTTGTGTGTTGCTCTTTTAAAAGATGTTTTTTTATATATAAATAATTGCAGTATAACAAGTAAGAGGCATGCGATAATAATCAAAATAGAAATCGCTACGCACTCATTATTAGTGTAATCAGATAATATTGTCAGTGCTTTTAAGGTTGTCTATAAAAACATAATTATCGTTAATGAATTCTTCAATTTTATAGTAAGCTTTTTTTGCAAAGGAAGTGTTTTATATGCCATTTAAATCTTTTTTCTGGTAGATTTATAACAGACTCTGGTATTTTGTTGTAAACCCTTACGCAATTGCCATAAAACGAATTACTAACTGTACCCAAACCATATTTAGGTAAAATCAGTTTGTATTGTTACGTAAGATTTTATTAGTGAGGTGAGGATATTTGATTCCTTAAAGCACTCTCGTAAAGACTCCCTGGAACCCGTACTTATAATGGAGCGAATGGCTCTCTTTTGTAAAATAAATATTGTATTTATATCAGCTGCTTTGCCCCATAACAAAATGCCATACGACATAATGCTATGGAAATAACTAAAGTAGACAAGTTTAGACTAACTGTTAACTGTGTACCAAATTACGTTTAAATTGGTTCAGTAGTTTTGGCATGAAAGCGAGACAGACAGACAGTTACTTTCGCATTTATAATATTACTAAGGATAAACATACAACATCACACAAAATAAACCATTATGAAATGAATTGGGATATTCATTCCCACACACTAGAACCTAAGTGGTCTCGGACAGTGCGGTTTCGATGATTAGGTGACTGAATTACTAAAATACCAATGTATACTACCCTTACATCGGTTATTATCCAAATGCCATCTGTTGAATTCCATCATCACACAACCCTATATTAAAGTACCTTCCTCATCACTAAGTAAATTATTATGATACGAATGAATGAATGTTGATGAATGTATGCTTATTAGAATCTGTTCTGAGGATTTGATCGCATTGATACAGTCTGCTCAATTCCATCATCGTTCAAAAAAACCTCTTCCTTCCTTTTAGTAGTTTTGCGTGAAGAAGTAACAAACATCCATTTTTCCTATATATAGTGACAAACTTTCGCATCTGTAATCTTCATCTTCATTCTCTCCTCTTCCCGTTACGCGTGTTCGGATTTTCTAATCTTGCATGCATGTCGCTGGTAAGCATCGTTATTTGACAGGCCCAACACCTTAATTTCTTATGGACATTAGTCGACCAGGTATTTGATAGTCTGCCTCCGTCTTCTTTTTATTGTAGCCATGAAAAGACTTTTTTATAACGTGGTTTTCAGGTTTACACATCTATAATATTAGTAAGAAATTATATAATTAATATCTCACCTGATTTTGTTGTTCCTCTTCTAGCATCATCCTGGGATGTTAGGTGTAGCTCCGCTGCAGGGTTTACCGCACCCTCAACACCCACAAATTCACCCTGGTAAGTTATATATACTTAAAATGACTTAATCATTTATTTAAAACTGACTTTCAATTGGTAAATACTAAAACAATTTTTGTATGTTTCAGGCATGACTTTAAACGACTCTATGAATCAGCACATTGAACTCGTTTTACAAATGGAGCAGCATCCACAGTTTGACAACAACAGTTTTGCAAGTACACAACAGGTACATAACCAAAAATCGTTACTTATTTAATAATATATTATAATATCTCTTAATTCACACAGCGCCATTTAGTCCCGAGTTAAGCAGAGCTTGTGTAATGGGTACTAGACAACTGATATAAATAAATAGATAGATTTTTTAAATTAATGCATAATATAAATAGAAAACACTCAGAACTATATAAGCAATCATACTCATTAATACAAATGTTTGTACCATGCGAGAAATAGAATCCTCGACCATCAAAAGCAAGACTGCGCTAACCTATTAGACCACCAGGGCCCTTTTGTTATGTCTTGTGTGAATTAGTGTTGTTTTATAAAGATAATGAATGAAAATAGATAAAATGCAAATGTTAAAATGTATGTGAGGTGTGACAAGGAGGATGAGGAGAAAGATAATTTAAAAATATGTTCGTGTAATTTGTGGTCTCAACATTTGCGGAATTAAACAAAATGATATAAATCCGATAATGAATGAAAAGAACTTTACAAAACAATACCTGTAATGATTTCACAGTATACAACAAAGTCGCTGTCGCTGTCTGTCCCTATTATGCTTTAGAACATATAGATTTTGAACCGTTTTATTAATAAATGAATTTCTTGCTGATTCAAGAGGAAGTTTTATATGTATAATACATGAGCACTCGTGCGAAGCTGGGGCTAGTATTCAGATATAATATTTTGTAAAAAACCGATCGAAATATTGGCGAAAGAAAGTTGGAAAGTAAAGATGGGATGCAATAACTTATTTTGTAAATTTTTCAATTAATCCATTAGCCAAACAATTGTTGACGCCTTACGGATTTCCTTATTAATATGATTGTAGTGTATATAGTCTTTGGCATAATTAATATTGTTCATAACGTACTCTGTGCAGTTGACAGAGCCTGAATGTAAAAATGGCGAGAACGGCCTAATTAAATGTGAAGCGCAATTTAGCATTTTATTTATTTAAATACAGTACAAATTGGCGACGAGTAATAATTCACGTGTGTAATTAAGTTTGCATTAATAAAATTGTATTGTTAATGTATGTAATGGCTGGTTACGGAAACATAATGTTCGGCAGTAGCCTCATCTTTGACCATCGCTCTCAGGAATGGAGCATTTTCAAAAGTCGTTTTATTCAGTACTGCACCGCAAATGATATTAATGAAGATAATGAAGAAAAGTGGAATAAAACGGCGTGCATTATTATTAACATCTTTGTTGGAAGACACATACCGCGTAGCGCGGGATGAAATTATTCCTAGGTTTTTTTTTTTCATTTAAATAAATACAGTACAATAATAGTCGTAGTTTGATCACCGATATCCTATAAATAAAAACCTGTAGTATGGTATATGGTGGTGCAGTAACACCAGGGGAATTGCAAGTACATTGCCTGCATTTTAAAAAGGAATAAGCTCTTTTCTTAAACATTTCAATGTCGTATCGATTCGGAATCACCATTGCTGTAAGACAATGTAGTTGTGCATAGTATCGGCAACACCGGACGAATTGCAAGTGCGTTGCCAGCCTTTTAAGAAAAATGAGCTTTTTTCTTGAATTTTTCTTGATTATCCTATCGGTTCGGAATTACCATTGCTGGAAGGTGTTCGTGCGTGGTAAAAAGATTCAATAAGGAGTGTTAAGCAGTGTTAGTGGTGAGTAGAGTTTTTGGTGATGTGCGCAGTACGGCGGCGGCGTGGGCGTGGGCGGCGGCGTGGGCGCGGCGAGCGGCGGCGTGGGCGGCGTGGGCGCGGTGGGCGGCGTGGGCGCGGCCGCCGCCAGCCTCGTCAACGGCGCCTCCGTCGTGCAGCCCGCGCCAGACTCCGCGCAGCACCACCAACCCTTCGATGTACAGGTATGTTCACATTTATTAGCGCCTGCTTCTCATATATACATCCAAGCTATCATATTGTTATGGTGCTCTACGGCAGTGGTCAGCAAGAATTTTTAGGTGGAGTCCAGATGGTGTAGAAAAAATTTAATGAATTACCTATTTATTATGTTGTTTAATCATCAAGTTCTGAAGTATAAAACAAGACCTAAGATTTATGTGAGAAACTACACCGACGCTGTTGAGCCATTTTTTTTATAGTTTAGTACTCGAGAGGAACAGCAAATATGAAGTGTGTCTTCTAGGTGGGCGCCCACCTAGAAGATATATCAATAATAAGTCAATATCGTACGATATTTGTTTTTGAAAAAAAAAAGTGAGTGTGATGACCTATCGCGGTCCGCCTCAGTTGCACACTGGGGCTCTACGATATAGTCACAGTCATCGTAATTTATTCATAATACAATTGTGTATGAATATAAAGAAATACAATACATAAATAATATTGCTCTAATCTATAATAATTTTTGAATACTGAAATACTTCTAATATCATTTAAATCTACAGGCAAATTATTGTTCATTTACAGTTAATTTATATATATAACAAATATATCTTATTAAGTTTACACGGTACATCTAAAATTCAGAATATCTGTCCTTCGATTTACATGAAAAATATTACATTAAAGGTCAAAAATCATCTTGCGCGGTTAAATTGAGTGTATGTTAGCCTACAATCATATATGTACTGATGGATTTTCTTAAACTAGACTATGGAATATTTATATAGAATAAGTATAAATGTATACTCTAATGTTCCAAATGCACCATTCAAAAACTAAAGGATCATCAAAATAACAACACTCTCAGGTTTTAATTTTCCGTCACGAAACCTCAATTTGTACGCATAGTCAATACAAGGCTTTAATATATTAAAAAGCGTACATTTTTATGGCGTGACCTGTATACAATGATAACTTACTACATAAGTAATTCTACAGATAGTAATCATCCATCATCTTACAAATGAAATTATAGTACTATGTGAAACCAAAGAATATGAAAGATTGAAATATTTGTGCTATAATCTTTACGTACTTTGCACATGGACGCCATGTGGCGACACTTGTTCGCTTACTAGCTTCCTATAGAAACAAGCCGTAAATGTTATCTTGATCATTTAGTATATTTATATTATCAATACATCATCTATTGGCGGTGAATGCAATATATATCGTTAAAGCCTTTATAAGTGATGTATTTCAATAGTATTATAGTTTTCTTATAAAAAATGATGTTGTGTATATAATGCAAGGTATTTACTTGATTTTTATTTACTTGATATATTAGAAATTAAATAATATTAGAAAAACTAGAACATTTTGATTAAGGCTACTTTCACTCAACTTCCAACAATATATGGACAATATTTTTTAAAAATATTTTTATTGTAAACAAAGCTTTTCTCATAAAATGGGTTTATGTTGACATTACTTAGTACACAGGTAGACTGTATAAAGTCGTCGGTGTCGGTGCTTTACTTATTCTATTTCTGCCGCCAAGCAGCTTGTTTTGTAAGCTGTTTCGGTTATAGCGTGAAAAATAGCAGTAAAGCTACGAGAGGATGGCGTGACAATTAATTTCTCCTGAATGGCAACACATAAGCAGCATTATGGGCGTCACACGATGACGCGATGTTCATTAGTACTGTTCACGTATATAGGTATAGGTGAATTTTACTGTTTACCAACAGCTATAGCTATTCCAATTACATTAAAAAATATGAAATAAAATCAGTACGTAGATATAATTTGTTAATACAAAGTAGAATTATGTTTGGAATCCCTTAATTGTACACAATATGTAATATATATACAATGATCCAGGATGTTAATAATTTGTATAACGTTTTAACGAAAAATGAGAATTAAGCTCGAATTAGTTATTTAAAATCACCTAAATTTAAATGTAGAGTGGCCTGACATAATTTAACGAAACAAAAATTAGTTTTAACGAAAAATAAAAGTAAGCTTGAATTAGATATTTAAAAAGACCTAAATTTAAATGTAGTGTGACCTGACCTAATTAAACTTTATTTAGAAATATTCTATATTACTTTAAGGTCTCAGTACTGTAATAAATGTTTTACATTCTGATTCACTGAATTACATAAGGCGATTTTTACAAGTTTTCGGCCGCAATTCCTTTTATTATATATTTATTCAAGAATGCTCTCTTATGCATTACTGCATAGGTTCAGCTTACTTTCTATCTGTATTCTCTGTAAGTCAATATTATTAAGACTTGAGACTTAAGACAGCCTTGAAGTACTAATCTTATCAGTAAGTTATGTGCTGTAGAATAACGTCTGCAGTGGAAATTACCAATCCAATTTGCAATGTTGCTGTTAAAGGTAAAATATATAAGTACTTTTAATTAAGTCCATCATTTGATATGAATATTTTCATCAAAACGTAAGAGTGTGTTGAGAGATGTGATTGCCACATAAACACATTTCCTTTTCATCATCATTTTCATCATGATGAGGTATGGGCTGCCAACAATTTTATGTATTGTCTTTGTCATGTAAGATTAGCATTTAGATTTGTTTTTCTGGCTATAATAATATAAAGTTAGGGGTTAGTTAGTTATATTGCACTATAACATATGTAGACCGTAGATTGGGTATTTCATAAATGTCTGTAATAGACCAGCATGAATAAACATATTTTAAATTGAATTTTGTTCATTAAGAAACATACTATTAAGGTCTTGACGACGGAATGCTTGTTTCGTATAAGTCTCCTTTTTAGAAATGAATCAATAGTGATTGCGTCCGTAGTTCTACTCGCACTTGACATATTTTCGAGTGGTCGGAACCCTACAACATTTTATTTGTGATGATTATGGTATTGTGTAAAAACATTTTTGCAAACTTAGTTCGGCGGTCTAATTCTACTACCATATTTTGGTTTATTATGTTCTATTTTAAATTTAGATAAATAAGCTTTATATAGTATAAAACCAAAGTCGCCACCGCTGTCTGTTCGCTTTATGTATTTTAAATTACACAACGGATATTACTGCGGTTTATAGTAGTAAAAAAGAGTTATTTTTAGAAGAAAGTTTATATGTATAAAACATGTGTGTTATAGTATAGAACAAGCCGAGAAATGAAAGATTTGTAATTCATTTGTGCCTAGCCGGAACTGGTTGCTAGTTATAGTATATTTATACTTATATACTTATTTCTTATATTTATTATGTAAAAGAAATGAAAGGCTGTTTATACTATTGATACCCGAAGTCCTACTACTACCTACCGGAGCCTAGGTTTAGCACATCACCTTAAGTTTGATGGTCACGGGTTTGATTCGTCGCACGATACAAACATTTGCATTCATGAATATGACTTGGTATTGGTTTGGTCGTATTCAGTATACTAGTGGTAGCTCAATAATCGAAATTCGACCATAATTCATTAAAATTATAAGTTTGAACATTATTATGGTTCTATTATACTTCTATGTGTGCGTGGGTCAAATGTATGGTAGTGTGTATCATAAATTATGCATAACTCTTGATCCGCGACTAATTTTCATAGAAAGGGCTAAAAAATTTTTGCTTTACGTATTAATATATATGTAAGTGATATTATGTATGTATGTACTTTTATGAGTTGGTTAGTATCCATAGTACACGTTGTGGTTATATTTGCACTAGATGGCGCTGTGTGAATTGTCATGGATTATTATTATTTGTTCGGAATAATTAAGTTTGCGAGTACCCACTCTCTCTTCACTGGGTCCATTTGATATGTTCTAGCTGTATTATAGAGGTAACTGGAAAAATAGCGGCACGAAATTGAATTTAATCAATTTTTACGGTAACCGATCATTTATCGGACATTGCTTCTTGCGTTTTGGATTTTTAACTCTCGAAATTGATTTCACCATTGGGTTTATTCACGTTTCGCATTGTAAAATCGGCTTCATAAATATTAGGTAACGGAATGGTTCAAATTACGTTAATGGTAACTTGTCAATTCAATTTTGTAAAGATTTTTTTCTATACAATTACCTAATTTTAGTACTCTTCACCTGAGAAGTAACCTATTGCATAAAATAGAGTAAAATTGTTAGAGTTTCTTATATTTTGATATATCTGATTTTATTTTATTATTTAAAAATATCTAAATATGTAATAGCATGATGTGAATAATGAATATAAAAACAATAATAACATTAAAAATATCTTACCAAAATCGAGGTTACGATTTCACCCTCGATAACTAATTATTTAAAAGTTATATCTTTCAGCCCTGAATATATATATTTTTTTATTAAATCACTGACGTCGGAAATGTGGGTTATGCACGTACCATTAGATATGCATAGATTTATTAACAAATGAATGATTGATGTGCTTTCGTCGGTTCACTACTAATTCATTTCATTCACAATAATAATATTGATTAATAATGTAATGTGTCACTGTATGAAATACAAAAAATGATAGTACAATAAAAATAACAGCAGTAATATCTATGAATGGTTTCTTCTTATAGAAATATGAAAATCGATTTATAAATCTACAGAGGTCGTAAAGGGTATGTTAAACAGGAATAGTAGTATTGTATATGTAATTTTTTTGTAGAGTTAGGTAGTATCACAGGTAAGACAGACCTAGAAAAAAGGTGTAGGTAAACGAAATTTAAGTAACGCTGTTAAAATATACAAGTTTATAGGAATAACATCTTAGTAGGCTATTGAGAATACTAATGATGAATACACTAGTTTTTTTTATTTATTTTGCAAGAAATCTGTTTGTTGTCCATCTCCATATTTTGTGCAGTTGGAATAATGCGAAATAGACAATGTCTATTATATTTATATCTTCTTTTTTACCTGGTTCAGTTTGCTTTACAGAGTTTTCCGACGGTACAATATGACTTTAGTCGTTGTAGGTAAGGAGGCACGTTCATAATAACTTACAAGTTCTGTTTTGACCTACATTCACAAA